CAACGCTTTACGAAGTGGAAGTGGAATGCATTAACGATAGCTCTAGAAATTGCCCCAGCCAGATAGCAGCTACCGATCGAGCCGAGGTCCGGCCCTCTCGGGCACCCTCGAATCGGAATGCTAAACGCGTGCTGAGTGACAGCCCAAGCCGAGGTTCCCTCTCGGGGACCCTTGAGCCTACTCACTCAATGGAGCGCCCGCCAAAGCGCCCTAAGAGCTTTGCGGCCTCCCAAACCGGTAATAGTAACAGCGTGACGGCCCGAGCCGAGGCTCTCCCGGGAGCCCTCGAGCTTAGTCACCATAACGCGTAATAATAATACGCCGAGGTTCAGGCTAGGCGCCCCGAGCGCCCGGCCACCTCAAGTACGGCGAAACTGTAAAGGCCCCTAAGGCCAACAGTGGCTCATCCAGCCAAAGAAACAGTGCGACCGCGTGCAACAGGCATCAGTCAGGTGACGAAATTAGCGCCGACGCAGAATCCGTTGCAAATGCGTCGTAAAGTTATCGTCTGGCCGTGGACGTTGCGAATAGTTGTGATAAGTCACACTCCGTCCAGTATTAGAGTAAAGTAACGGTCCGTAAATCAGTCCCACTGCTGGGCAAAGGAGCACAGTACAGAGGGTATTTGGGCATAGTGAACCACGCGAAACCCCAGCGGATTGGCGGACTTCACATGTCCTCGAAATGTTTCTTTCCTATTATTTCTAAAACACGCAGGTTTCAAAAAAAAAAACCAAAATCATTTATTCATCAGAAACATATATTTCATCTAACGATAGTATTTTTTTTTAATCTACCACCGTTTCGTAATGGGGTTCCTCTAACGGAGAAGAAACAGAACACTCCGTAGGTATACTCTTTTTTGTAATTTTTTTCCTAAAAAATATTAATATTATACAACTGTTTCTTTTCCTTCTAGAAATAGCTTTGGAGCGATCAACTCATTCCCAGGGGTTATAATGTCATTAATGTATTCGTTTATATTATAATAATCCTTTTTATAAAGATTTTCTTTAATAAATTTTTTTTAAACCCATCGATAGAATAGATTTCCTCGCGACGTTACCCCCTCACCGTTGAGCAAGTGATAAAACGACACTTGAATATACAAAAATATACATAGAAATCGCAAAGATTTACACTTTGATTGCGCCGGGATTCGAACTAAGGTCGCTCGAGTGTGCAAAGCGAGCGCCCGGACACTGAGCTATCAATAACTTTATCCTTCGGTTTCCGTTTGTATTGCACAATCGAGCCACGGTTACCGGGGCCACATGGGCGAATATGAGTGACTGCGCACGTACACTAAGTAATCAATTAGCCCCAATCTTAACTAAAAGCCGGCCAAGTGCGAGTTGGACTCGCGCACAAAGGGTTCCGTACCATTATATTAGAGACATGTTATAAAACATAGCTTTTACCGATTTGTACAACTATAACTCAATGACTCGATAATTGGGTAAGAAAAATACTTAGCTTTTCCAACAGAGTTTATTGGAGACAAGTTATAAAATACAGCTTTCACCGACTTATACAACCATAACTCAACGATGACTCAATAATTGGATGACAATGGCACTTAGCTTTTCCAACAGAGCAACAGCCCTTAACTACCAATGACCAAAAAACTAACCCGCGTACGTTGTGAGAGTTGAATTTATACCCCTCAAAAACCAATACCAACTACCCCCCAATTCTAAGGTGTAGGAAATATCAAGACGCAATGGGTATCAAACCAACAACTTTTAAATAAGTCGCAACAAACTACTAATAAATTATTGATAAATTATTAATTAGATTAAACATGTGCAATAATTATAACAATTATCTATAAAAACTGCAAAAAAGAATCTTGTCTGTTGTATGGGAGCCCCACATAAATATTTTTTCAAGACAGAAATCCATCATCTGTGTAAATTACAACTGTCTAACTAACATGTTTTATGAGATACAGCATGGTGATAGACTGAAAGATGGACAGGCAGACAGACGGCGGAGTCTTGTAATAGGGTCCCGTTTTACCCTTTGGGTAAGTAACAGCCTATACATGTCCCACTGCTGGGCAAAGGCCTCCTCTATACAGAGGGTATCAGGGCATAGTCCACCACGCGGCCCCACTGCGGATTGGCGGACTTCACGTGTATTCGAAAAGTATTTTTTTTTGTTATTATTCCGAAAATATGCAGGTTTCCTCACGATGTTTTCCTTCACCGCGGAGCGCGTGATAAGTCAGCACTTAAAGTTAAAAACTTCATTGGTGCCGGCACCGGGGATCGACGCTTTGGGTACGGAACCCTAATAATAGTTACACAACGCTCGTCTTGTCTCCCCCCAAGACGTTCTTCTCGCCATTGTTGTATTTGTATGTTGATGATTACGCAAGCAAAGCTGAAGTTTCACATTCTCACGACCCCATCTTCGAAATACTACCATTATGTTAGTGGACTTTTAATTTCACTAGTTATGCACACGGTTCCTTAGATCGAGATTACGGTTGCTTAATCGATGTCCTTACTTAATATTATAAAGGCGAAAGTTTGTATGTACGGTGGTTTGTACGGATGGATGTTTGTTACACTTTCACGCAAATACTACTGAATGGGTTTTAATGAAACTGTACAATAGAATAAAACATAACTATAATTTATATACATATTTTTATGTATATCAGTCTTTCTGTATGAATGTTAAGCCTTCAGCATATACTACGCAAACGTAGTCGCGGGCAGCAGTTAGTGTACTATATAAAGCGAGTCGGCGGCTTCGAAATTCATTCTGAATAGAAAAAAACATGTCGCTAGGTAAGAGCCTGTATATGTCCCACTGCTGGGCAAAGGCCTCTTCTGTATAGAGGGTATTAGGACACAGTCGACCACGCGACTCCACTGTGTACTGCGCACTTCACATATTATCGAAATATATTTTTTTGCTGTTATTATGGAAATATGTCGGTTTTATGACGATGTTTTCCTTCACCGCAGAGCACGTGATAATTCGGCACTTCAAATTAACAATTTCATTGGTGCCGGCACCGGGGATCGAACTCAAGTTGTTCCAGTATATTGAATTAAATGCGAGCGCCCGGACGCAGATCTATCGCGTCTCGATACTGTTATTTAAACAACCCTCTAGTAATTTACAAATTTGTATAATAGATGAATGGATTCTATACCGCCGTGGTGTAAAACGCTGAATTGAATTACGCTATATTAACAACTAGCGACCCGCCCTGGCTTCGCACGGGTGCAATATATTACACATATAAACCTTCCTCTTGAATCACTATCTAAAATCCCCCATCAAGGTCCGTTGGGTAGTTTTTTTAAGATTTAAGCATACATAGGGACAGACAGACAGGTTTGTTTTATAATATGTAGTGAAGGCGTATATTTCTTGTAATATCATCACAGTCCTGCCCTTTTCCCCCCACCTAGATGGGGTGAGCGCAGCATGCGAATCATGTTGTAATTGGTTTTGGCTAGATGTTTTCTACTGGCTGACGTCAAACCCGCTTGGGACCAAAGACCTACATCCGAAACAATTAACTGTGGGTCGCACAAACACTTATCACTACCTTGTAAAAAGGTCATCAATTAAAATGTGAGTCCACAAATTCTTTGGCTTTATTCAGCACCAAAGGAGTACGGACCCATGTAGTAAGGACAAAGCTGTATCATGGTACCCTTTAATCCCCTTGTCTTTTGAGGTCAGGACCTCGACATTCCCCTCGCCATTCCTTTTTAGGTACCCAAAGTGTGAAACGGTTCCCTATTACTAAGACTCCGCTGTCTGTAAGTCTTTCTGTCTGTCTGTCTGTCTGTCACCAGGCTGTATCTCAAGAACCGTGATATTTAGACAGTTGATATTTTCACAGATAATGTATTGCTGTTGTAAAAAACAGAATTAAAAAAAAAATTCCCGTTTTTTTTTAGTCCGACTCGCACTTGGCCGGTTTCTGTCGTTGTCACAATATGACTCATGCGTTGAATTTGTACACGTTACATCAGACCAAACAAAATTTTTAAGTTAAACGTCTAAATTGGCTTCAATTATGAAACATTCACGACATCCACTTCGTCTCGCGTTTGCATGTCGTGGTTTCGGGTATTAGAATTTCTACAATCACACACTCGTATAGATAAATTTCTGCGTCGATTATATTACTTTTTTTTTTATTAATAACTAACTACCTCTCCTGGCTTCGCACGGGTCCAATGTATTATACGTATAAACCTTCCTCGTGAATCACAGTATCTGGTAAAAAAACTGCATCAAGATCCGTTCCGTAGTTTTAAAGATCTAAGCATACATAGGAACAGACAGACACAGGACGAATTTGTATTATATAATATTTCTAAAGGGAATAATGGGCTAAATTACTAAACTTGTTCTGCCATGTAGGTGGAATTTTATGTGAAATTATATATAAATGGATACGTGTATAATAAGTATTTATTTCATTTAAATATAAATTAAACATTATTTAAATCTTTAACTTATGGAACTCTTTAATCTACATATTTTAATGTTTCATCTTGAGTGCAGAGATTGTGTGTTGTACAATAACCATTTAAATTTCAAATGTCAATGACGAAACCTCTCGTTCGAGTTATCGTTGTTAAAGTGTATTTTAAATGTTTGTCTGCTTTATCTTTATCGTAATAAATAAAAGTGATGAATTTATTTTTTTGTACGTTCCTTAAGGTCCACGGAAGGTTTTAATACTAAAAAAAAAACGAAGTCTGTCCGGGCGGCTAGTAGGAGATAAAAATAACTCATTGCTTAAAATGCGAAAACGTTTTAGATGAAATACGCTAAGATTATCGTCGGTGTGGCATTTTTTTTTCCTTTCTCTTCCCCTATCTCCAGGAAGTTGATTAGTGTTAGAGGCCGTTGTATAATATGCTCTCCTTGTCGCACCATGCGCATAACGTTAGAGTTTGCTGTATAATATACTCCTTCTCTTCTGCTATCACCAGGCGCAGTGACGAGAGGTAGCGATGGCGGACACCGATACGGAGACGCTGCCGAACGGCACCGGCCACCTGCTGACCGCAGCCAGCAACGAGGATGAGGAGGAGAGGATGAAGCAGAGGCCCGCAGACATCGATGCGGTGAGCGCGCGAGGGAGATAGAGAGCGCGAGAGAGGGAGATGGAGATTTGTATTTGTATTACCAATGTCACGCTTTCAGTCGTTAGACTATTAAAGCTTCGTCGAACGCAGAACCGGTGGGCTGGCCGGAACCCACGGGTTTGAGGCCCTCCTCGGTGGGTATCATATCTACCTGGTGTTTGTATATAATTATCCGTACTAATATTATAAATGCGAAAGTAACTCTGTCTGTCTGTCTCGCTTTCACTCCAAAACTACTGAAACGATTTAAATGAAATTTGGTACACAGATAGTCTAGAGCCCGAGAAAGGACATAATAAAAAAAAGTGTTGTTAAAAGCTTCAACGCGAGCGAAACCGCGGGCGAATAGCTAGCCATATGTGATTTCGTTTGCAGGACGTGCGCGAGATGGAGCGCCGCAAGCGGGTGGAGGCGCTCATGTCCTCGAAGCTGTTCCGCGAGGAGCTGGAGCGCGTGCTCGACCAGCAGATGCACGAGGGCAGCGATGCGCCGCTGCTGCAGCGCATCAGGGAGATGGTCGGCGGCCGGCTGCACACCGGCAGCCTCAGGGTTGGTAGAAGCGCTCTATCTTTCTCTCTATTCCTCCCTCTCCCTCCCTCCCTCTCCGTCCCTCTCCTTCCCCCTCCCTCTCTCTCCCACTCCCGTAGTGGAACCGGTGTTGGATTGCGTGGCCAGGGGCTTTGTGGGTGAGATCCCACATGGTGGCAGGCGTGTCTGCTGCTGTATATGGGGCTCGTGAGTGGTGCTGCAAACGGGCTGGCGGTTCACCCGTTGTCGAGTGATAACCGCCGCCCATCGACATTTGCAACAGCGGAACGGTTGCGAATGCGTTGCCACCCTTTAAATTAAGTGGGCACCGGCCACCTCACTCGCCAGACGAAACGCAGAAGTGTAACACTTCTTAATTTACGCGCGCCGGTCTTATGCGAGGTCGCGGTACTTACCCGGACGGACCTGCCCATTCGTGCAACAGCCGAAGCTGTTGCACCGCACCCGACAAGACGGCCATACTCGTGCCGGGGTCGCTGATGATTGCTACCACGTGGCTTTTTTAGTTGGTGCCCGTTACTGACTGGGACTCCCACATACCCCTGCCCCTCCACCGATACGATGGCAGCGGATCCATATCCAAGGATTTTCCCCGTGTAAAAATAAGGAGGCTTGTGTGGTGGAAACGTGCGGCGGTCTTTGTGCTGTCGAACTGCGTGGGACGCCTTGTCCGGCGGAGGAACCAAACGATAGAAATGAGGTTTCCCGTCATCGATAATTTATGTCGTCATCACTGTTTTTATTAGTGACTTCGTATTCTTCATCTGCTGTTGATTTATTTGCATGTAAGGTTCGGTATGTCTGGGGAAGTGAACGAACCATGGAAATGGCATTTTATCAATGTTGTCAGTGGTGGCGTCATCATATTCTTCTTCATATCAATTCTCCCCATCACCAGCGCCATCATCGTCCTCGTCGTTTGAAATGTGAATCGACTGAAGTGAGAAAATTTTAATCTGTCTGTGGACTCACGCGTTCCTTCTCAATTCCCTCAGGGCCCTAGCTGCGTGCTGCCCATCAACGACATACGCGGCATCGAGGGCGTCGGCTACGAGAAGGGCGAGAAGATCCTGCGCTGCAAGCTGGCTGCGGTCTACCGGCTGGTCGACCTCTTCGGATGGACCCAGAGTGAGTGCGGGACAAACGACCCGGTCTATTCCCGCTTTTGGTGCTGCACTAGTGGTGTCCCTGGGGGAGAGTGTGGCCTCGCAGACGCGATAAACGTCCTCCACTATCACGTTAACATGACATGATTTCAAATGCACACAAAAACAGATAGTTTGCACCTAAAAAAAATTATACAAAACTAAGAATCCATATCCAACGGTGTCTGTCCCCGGTCCGCTTTCAGCCGGCGTGAGCGGCCAGATCACCGCGCGGCTGAACACCGCCGTGGAGCAGGTGCTGACCACGCCGCGCGGGCTGCTGCCCCACGAGGTGACCGCCTCGTCGCTGGTCAAGGTGGACATGCAGGGCGTCGTGCAGGACCAGGGCACGACCAACTTCCCGGTGAACGCGGAAGGTGAGCGGGCGAGAGAGAGGGATGGGGGAGTGAGCGAGAAAGGTATAGAGGGAGGTGTTCAGGCTAACTTTTGCCGGGTGGTGCGAAGGGAAGAGATGGGGGGAGCGAGCAAGTATATTGCGTGTATTTATTGAAAATTGAAAAGCGGTGTGTAGTGTAACCTTAACTTGCCGTTATATTTTTATCATGGATCATGGTCCTTAATTTCAGAATAAAATTAGATAATAATTTATACCTGTATTTTAAGATGATATTCTAAAAAAAATAGATTCTTTGTATGTAAATGAAACTTATTTTACGAATTTATCGCGTTTATTTTTAATTTTAAGTCTGTCCCGTGACCATGAACGCTGTACAGGGTTCGAAACGTCGGGAATTAAAATTAAAAATAAATCCGTAAAATTAGTTTCATTTATAATGTGTAATCGCGTAAAAAATCTAAAAACGTCCCAACGCTTACGGCCTAATGAAACGCTGCCGTCCGCGTCCGTAAATCTTCTCATTTACTAATGGAAACAACCGTCCGTTACAGGTTTCTCAAACTGCGGCCTACTTAAACATCACCGTCCACGTCCGTAAACTGATGACTTAAGGGAACACTCGTCCGTTACAGGTTTCTCGCTGCACGCGTCCGTGCACGCCGCCCGGCCGGACGTGCGCTGCGTGCTGCACGTGCGCTCGGCCGCCGCTCTCGCCGTGTCCGCCACCCGGCGCGGGCTGTTGCCGCTCTGCGCCGAGGCGGCGCTGCTCGGCCCGCTCGCGCAGCACCGCACGCCGCACGGTGAGTGACGCGTGACGTGTCGTGTCGCGGCACGTCGTGACGTGACGCGATGCCGTGTCGTGGCGTGGCGCGGCGCGAACGATCCGCCGACGCTGCTATGGAACGCTGTAGCGGCAGCTGCGACTCTATGCGCGTGACGTGTGTCGTGACGCGTGACCGACGCTGCGATGGAGATGTGACCGTGCAGTATTTGCACGTGACGTGACACGGTCCGAAGCCGCTATGGAACGCGATGGAGCCGTTGCTGCGCACGTGATATGAGTTGTTACGCGTGTCCGACGCAGTCTGCGCACGTGACATGACACGGTCCACGGTCCGTGATGCGACATTGCGACCGATACACTCGTCACTTTACGACGCCCTCTCATGTGAGTCGTGACGTGCCGCAACGCTCTATGCTTCAGCGTGACCCTGACACGACGCGTCACGCTTCGGCGGCTGTCTCGCTCTTGCCGCGTTCCTATCAAGGTCATGTTGTAGAGGGGGCGGGGAGAGGGGAGCAGCTAATAATCTAAGATGATGTAGGTGGCGATTTCTTTCACGGTAGGGTGTGATGTTTGATGAAAAGGGACAGCCAGCGTCTGTCTCAAACGGATGCTTAGAACTGCGGAAGTGAGTGAATGAGACGGGAGAACAGGTACAAATGTAAGCGAGACAATCGTATGTGATTGAGATTGACGATAAGAAGTCAGTAGCGCACGCGTCTGGGTGAGTAGCGACCGCATACAGCGGTAAAATACTTCGGCCCTAATGGACTTAGAGCTATTGAACGAATTTCTTCCTACTAATTAGAGGTTCTATGACGCTCGCATCTGACGTCTCGTCATCATATCATACCATAAACGTTCTTTAGGTTCCCTTATATTACAACCTACTTAGCAATTGACAATGACATTGACATTTCGTATTCTGTCACTGGTTTCTTTCTGTGATGTCAATGGAATAATGACAATAGTTTGTGTATAGTCTTCAAGTTGTGGTCCTTTAATTTAAATATTTTTACTTGTTTTTTGTCTGTTATTTTAACATGATTGTAATATTCTGTTTTTTTCTTGTTATTTTATATTAGTCATTATTTGTCAACAGTCAACTGTAGGAATGGTGTATTCTGTAATGAATTCGAAAAACTTTATTATTATTATTACCAATTTTTTTAAAAATTTTTTTTTTACATATTTACTTATTATTCTGTTCTTTTATATTTTTATATATAAATATATATAGCTAGATATTATTATTATTATGACCGATTCGGAATCATATTATTCGGCTTCTGATTCAGACCTGTCGTACAATTCATGTGATAGTCTTACAAATAATAGTCCATCGAATCTACATGAGCAACTCATTCAAGTTTTCTCTTCTAGGGATAAGTTTTTAAATATATGTCATATCAATGCTCAAAGTGTTCCGAGCCATTTCTCTGAACTTCAAACATCGTTTACTCCTGACTGCATACACGCAGTTCTAGTGTCCGAAAGTTGGCTCAAGCCTTCCTTGCAATCAACATTCTATCCGTTATCTGGTTTCGTGCTTATACGCAACGATCGCACGGAGAAAGGAGGAGGAGGTGTAGCTATCTATTTTTGCATGCATCTATTACGTATAGAGTTGTGCTGACATCTCCATCACGTTATTCTGCCTCCGCAGAGTTCTTATTTGTCGAAATAGAACTAAAGGGGACAAGGATGATTCTCGGAGTTGTGTATTGTCCACCTGCTTCTGACTACTTCTCCTCTTTAGAAACGGCTCTCGAGAGTATCTGTTCCGAGTACTCTCACTGCATGATAATGGGTGATTTAAATACTGATCTTTTAAAAAGCTCCCCTCGTTCTCATAAACTTCACACAATCATTGAGTCAGTTAATCTTTCTATACTCCCTCTCAGGGCTACTCACCGTAACATTGGCACTGATGACTCCTTGATTGACCTTATTATAACTGCTTCTCCTGATCATGTGGAGACATATGGTCAATTTTCTGCGTCAGAGTTCTCGCGTCATGACCTTATATTTTCTTCTTATAAGCTTAAACCTCCCAAATACAGCCCTCCTATCCTACATTTACGCAGTCTTTCCAGGATAAACTTTGAGGTATTCATGCGTGATGCTTCAAATTTTAATTTTACAGCACTGGTAGCAGCATCTACAGTTGATGAAAAAGTCTCTATTCTCAACAACATGGTTCTTAAATTGTATGATACTCATGCTCCAGCGCATAATGTTAGATTAAAACGCCCTCCCGCTCCTTAGATGACTGAAGAAGTAAGGATGGCAATGGCGAAACGGAATCGAGCCTTTTGTCGGTTCAAAAGGAACCGCTCTGAGGATAATTGGTCTATATTTAAGATAGCTAGGAACAGGTGCAACCAAATGGTACGGACAGCTAAACGCCGATATTTTCATAATAATATTGTTAATTCATCATCTGCTAATGTTTGGAAATTCCTTAAATCTGTCGGTATTGGTAAACCAGCAATGTCGGAACGTGTCTTTTCTCTTTCTCTAGATGATATGAACCGACATTTTTCTTCTACGTCTGCCATGGACCCCGGAATCCGTTCTCAAGCTATTTCAAACATTGCGTCTTTACAAACCTATTTAATTCCCCAATTCAATTTCAGTCCTGTTGATCAAAACGACATTAAGAAGTTTGCGTTAGCTATTAAGTCCAAGGCTATGGGCTGTGATGATATCAGCAGGTTTATGATAATCTCACTATTAGAGCATCTTCTTCCAGCAATCACCCATATTATTAACTATTCCCTTGATTCCGGTCAATATCCTACTTGCTGGAAGAAAGCCTATGTCCGACCTCTTCCTAAAGTTCCTAATCCTACGCAACCGAACCATTTCCGTCCAATATCAATTCTGCCCTTTCTGTCAAAAATTCTGGAAGCCTGTGTTCACAAGCAAATCTCCTTATTTTTAAATAAGCATAACCTACTGAGTATGTATCAGTCTGGTTTTCGTTCTGGCCACAGCACTACCACAGCCTTAATCAAAGTTACCGACGACATTAGACAAGGCATGGAAAATAAAAAGGTAACTGTGTTAGTGCTTGTGGACTTTTCAAACGCTTTTAACACAGTCGACCACGATATACTCCTTTCCATGCTCTCCCATATTAATTTTGCAGACTCTGTTGTAGAATGGTTTTCATCTTATCTTCGTGGGCGTCAGCAGTCAGTTACCTTGGGGCAAAAAAGCTCAGCTTGGGCTGATGTTGAATCTGGCGTGCCACAAGGCGGCATACTGTCTCCCATAATCTTCTCTATTTTTATTAACTTTCTTACTGCTTTTTTGAACTGTTCGTATCATTTGTATGCTGACGATCTTCAGCTTTATGTGCAAGCCGATATAGACGACCTTCATGTTGCGATAGTAAAATTAAACGAAAACCTAGACAAAGTTTGGAGTTGGTCAAGTTCTCATGGAGTTTCGGTCAATCCCTCGAAATGCCAAGCTATAGTTGTTGGTAGTTCAAGAATGCTGTCAAAAATTGATTACTCGTCTGTACCTCCTATAAAATACAATAATATAATAATTCCTTTTTCAAACGTGGTAAAAATCTAGGTCTGCTTATTGACAATACTTTGAATTGGAGTGTATACGTTACTGAAATAAGCCGAAAAGTTACTGCCACCTTACGATCTCTCTATCGCTTAAAACATTTCCTCCCTTTCAAAACTAAACTTTTGCTTGTCCAAACGCTCATTTTACCCATTATCGATTATGCAGATGTGTGTTACCCGGACGTATCCCAACATCTACTAAACAAGTTGGATCGCCTCATTAATAACTGTATCAGGTTCATTTTTTCGGCTTACGCAAGTATGACCACATATCCTCCTATCGATCTCAACTTAATTGGCTTACTATTCGGCAAAGGCGGCAGTCCAGAATTTTGCTTGTGCTTTTCTCTCCATTTTAAATGATTGTTCCTCCCCTTCTTACCTCAAAAACAAATTCTTATATCTCTCCTCATCTCATGATAGGGTACTTCGGTCGTCTTACACGAATAAATTATGCATTCCAGCGCACTTTACCGGGTTCTCTGTCAACTCCTTTACTATCCAAGCTATACGTCTTTGGAACTCCTTGCCCGATAACGTAAGAAACGCAAAAAGTAAGACATCTTTCAAAATATTGGTTCGTGAACACCTGTTAAAGACAAATTCGACCTAAGATATGGACTGTAGTTAAAAGTAGAAGCTAATTGTTATTTATTTATACAAGTATACATGTTTATATATATTTAAATATTTGAATATGTATATATATATATATATATATATATATATATATATATGTTTATATACATATGCATGTATATAACTTAATATATGATTTGTATCCAATTATAATATTATTTTCATATATATTCTCTTTAATTAAAATTTTATTATTCTTGCATCTTTTGCTGCACCTACCATAAACTCTCACCACATCCTGGGTTGACTGGTAGAGAATGCCTTTGGGCATTAAGTCCGCCCTTTGTTACCTTGTTTTACTGAAGGTTGGCAATAAAGATTAAATAAATAAATAAATAAATATATCAACTAAATTACTACTGCTCCAACAAGATTTTCCTGGTTTCCTTGTATGAAGAGAAATAAGTCTAATCATTTTCTCGATATGTTTACACGACCTCAGCACCTTAACATATGTAATATATTACCCAATAAGTTCATAAACGGTGGTAGGGCCACACAACAGTGTTGCACGAATGGGCAGGTCCGTCCGGGTTAGTACCACGGCCTCACAGAAGTGTAGCACTTCTGCGATTCGTCAGGTGAGGGAGGTAGCCGGGGCCCACGTTATTAACAGGCAACGCATCGGCAACCCTACGGGTTTTGCAAATGTCCATGGGCAGGCGGTTATCGCTTAACATCAGGTGAACAACCAGCTCGCCGGCCACTTCCTCACATTAAAAAAAATTGCTAACCGCTCCCCACCCCGCACCAGGCAACCTGGACAACGAGGAGCGCGACAAGCTGGTGCGCGCGCTGGGCCCCAGCGCGAAGGTGCTGCTGCTGGCGAGCAACGGCGCGCTCTGCTGCGGCGCCACCCTCTGAGGAGGCGTTCTTCCAGGCGAAGAACCTGAACGCCGCCTGCGAGGTGCAGCTGCGCCTCGGCGCGCAGCCGCCGGAGGAGCTGCACCTGCTGGACGAGGAGACCAGGCGCCAGGTGATCCAGGAGGATGATGCGATGATACGATGTCGTCATTATTTCTTTTTAGTCCATCCAAAGGTTGCCTGGAAGAAATTACTCTTAGTAATAAGGCCGCCCATTGTACGCATTACTTCTACATTAAGTTTTCATTTTTGTTTGTTTTATTTTTGGTGTGCAATAAAGTATATTCATTCATTCATTGCTCATATTCATTTCGGCCCGTTCGAGTCCACATCAGGCGCCTGAGTTGCTATTAAATGATTACCGCCCCCCAAGCTCCTTAAGATATCGTCTTCGGCGTCGGGGGTGGTGAGTCGTGGGTTCGATTCCCACATTGGACGAGTATTTGTTTGAGCCACAGATAACAGTTGACGTCAGGCAGGCGGCCGGTCGTTAAAACTGTAGCCAGAACCGCTATCAACACCATTCTCATGTTGTCCGACCCCACCTAAGTGGTATAAGGGCGGGAGGATGGCGACGATGAAATATTTATTCGTCGGGAGTTTGTTGTGACGCGATGGCCTTTCGCAGATCTACGAGTCGTCGCGCAAGCCGCCGGCGGACGCGGGCAAGTGGCGAGTGGGCGGCGAGGAGTTCGAGGCGCTGATGCGGATGCTGGACAACGCCGGGTTCCGCACCGGCTACATCTACCGGCACCCGCTCGTCAAGGTATTGCGTTTGCGTTTTTCAGCGGAGCGGGCTGGAGCTGCGCAAGTGTCCAACGGCATTGGCTGGGTAGGTAGCCCTTGGGGTTCTCCCCCTTCGACCGGCTTCCTGATTATTCGTGTGCGGAGGTATTGTCTTATACTTGTGTTGAATGCGTTGCGTAGTAGGTCCACACGACCACTGGGAACTAGGAGACCTCTTGTTCGAAAACCTTACCGTATGGAAATATTATCCTGTCTTTGTAAGGAGGTTTTACATACATGAGTTTCTCGTCAAGGTCCTTGATCAGTTTGAATTTCTATTGGGTCGCAGTAAGAATCAAACTATTGCCCGCCGCCTGTTGTTTTGATGTAGTGTGTGTTAGATGTGTACACTAATAATATGATAATGTGTACACTAAGTGTTATAATGCGCTATCCGGCTCGAAGGACCAAGTCGTTCAATTCTATAATACAACTTATAGCAGTTTTTTGAAAACAAATATAATGCTATGGTAACATACGCTATTTGATAAACGTATCATGTAATCAGGTATTACATGCCTTCCACATGCTTTTGTGATCTTAGATCAACTTTACAAATCATCATTATCATTATTTTAAATAACAAGAGGTTCAATACTTAGAGTCATCTTTACCCAACATTGACGTAATCTTGTATCGACAGAACGACGTGCCTAAGCCGAAGAACGACGTGGAAGTGCCGCCAGCGGTGTCCTCGCTCGGTTATCTTCTAGAAGAGGAGGAGCTCTACAGGCAGGGGTGAGTTTCTTTTACTTTACCGCTAGCAGTAGCGACTCTAAGGGTGGGCTGGCCCATCGTGGCTTTTCCAGGCTTGTGTAAACTAGAAAAGCAAAAGTAACGTAACAGCCTATAAATGTCCCACTGCTGGGCAAAGGCCTCCTCTGTACAGAGCTGCGGACTTCATACATCTTCGAAATATTTTTTTTCTTATTTCGAAAATATGCATATTCGATGTTGCCACCGCAGTGCAGGTGATAAGTCAAAACTTAAATTTAACAATTTCATTGGTGCCGACACCGGGGATCGAACACAGGTTGCTCTAGCATATCGAACTAAAGGCGAGCGCCCGGACACTGAGCTATCACGGCTCCGCAAACTAGAAGAATCCACAATTTTACCTTCCTTCTGGTTACTGGGTCAACGACGGTACAGCCCCTCCTGAAAGTTGGTGTCACAACACCACGTGGTGGTGGACATACGTGGTATGATTGTACTGTACACGGCCTAAACTGTCTGCACATTCTCCCAAAAACTTGTCTAATCCCTTTGAGGCAAGCAAGATTCCGCATTTATATGCTGCGTAGGATGTGGGTTTTCAATCTGAAACAGTTTTTTTATCATTCCAATCAGTCAAGCTCAAATCGTAAATAGTCTTCTCGAAACTGGACTCGTCCGTGTCTAGCACGCGAAACTTTAGACGTTCATTAGAAAGAAAGAAAGAAAGAAAGAAAGAAAGAAAGAAAGAAAGAAAGAAAATCCCTTTATTTGAAATCACTTAAATAATACATAATATTCAAAACATTACAGATTTTTAACGTGCCCAAAATTAAAAAAATAATATGAGTACGAACGCTATTAAGTGACGATTTTCCCTCCCCAATCCAGGCTTTGGAAGAAGGGCCAGGGGAAGACGGGCGAGCGCACGCGCTGGCTGAACTCGCCCAACGTCTACCAGAAGGTGGAGGTGCTGGAGACCGGCACCAGCGACCCGAAGAAGATCACCAAGGTAGAATACCTGCGCGTCGAGGCCGAGTAGACCGACCGGTCTACTGGGGCGGTCGCGGACTGCTTTAGAAATCGTTATCCGATTCCTGTCAAACGAGATTTCCTTTTGTCTAGACGTTAAGCGTCAAGTATTTCACTTTCTATGTCTATTAATTCATCGGACAGCATAGAGCCTATTATCATCATGCCGCTACAAACGTGACATTTAATAAGCACACATATAGAGGATGACTTTTTGAAATGCTATTAAACATTAGATTTTCTTTAAACATGAATATTTACCGAGTTATTAAGTTTTCCAAAACAAATAATTTTAGAACAAGACTACGTATAAAACCGTAACTTAAAGTTCATTTGTAAAGGTCACAAAGCATATGAATGGGTTGAATGAATTTAAAAGAGATAAAACATACTGTTTGAATTAGAGAAAAATCTCTGAACGTATGAATTAATCAGGGTATATGACGTAACAAATTATGTTTTTTGTTTATTTAATTAGTTTGTCTGAGAATTATTTTCTTTTAATTATGGATTTTTTAACGTTTGTGATTATTGGTAAGTAGCGTTAGTAGTGTGTTCATTAATTGTCGCGGTTATAACGCCATGCTGTATAAGTTTGAAAATGTATGTCCCAATAATATCTGCTATCAAGAGTGTTAATAATCAACAGATATTTCTGCACAAAAAAGTAGTTTGAATTCAGACCGACTAAGTCTGGAACATTCGATTTATTAGTAGTTTTTAAAAATTATTATGGCGTAACGCTAACGTTTTCACCATATACAATAGAACGTAGAGGAAATCTGTGTTTAATTAAAGTATTTGATAAAAATAGTTTTCATATATGAACTGTCAGTGATATATAGTATAGAATTTTTCTAAATTGTTTGAACACAATGGATATGGCTAAACCGAGTATCCAGATAGAAAGACCGCCCTCGTCACTGGCCACCTCCGCTAGACTTCTAAGTTGCGTTTATCCTAGTTATTCAGAGTTTAAAATTGTATTAATATTCTCCTATCTACTTGTTTAAGTAAATCGCATTTATTGATGTCCGGTGTGTGCAGTTGCTTGTATGAAAAATAAAATGAAACACACTCGTTGGTTGTATTTTCAACTTTGCATTATTAATTTATAATAATGCTAAGTTATTATATGATTATTGAAGCATAATTTATTATTAATTAACACTTTAGGCAGCTGACTAACTTATTAATTATTATTCGCTATGTTAGCTCATCATCATTTGAAAATTTCATCATATTCTAATAATAAACACCACACAAGACTTCTGATTTTTACAAATTGTGGAAAATTGTAGACAATCTGAAGGGATCATGTGGTAATGTTACCCAAAGAGATGGAGAAGCCCCTTTGACAGATTTCCCTGTCTTTTTTTCAGGGTTCCTATTACTTAGACTCCGTTGTCTGTCTGTCTGTCACCAGGCTGTATATCACGAACCGTGATACATAGACATTTGAAATTTTCACAGACAATGTATTTCTGTTGCCGCTATAACAACAAATACTAAAAAATAAAGAAATATTTAAATGGGGCTCCCATAAAACTGACATGTTTTTTTGTCGTTTTGATAGATAATGATACGGAACCCGCAAGTCCGACTCGGACTTTGCCGGTTTTATAGTCTGATGAGTTTGTCTATTAACTATATAGCGGGATACATTGTCTATCACCATTTTCTCCAAAACCTTATGTAGATATAGTATTTATTGTACTGTAATCCCCATCACGATTTAATTATATTAACCATTATTGTGGAATCATATTCTTTGCCACCTTCAGAATAATTTCTAAATCATCTGATAGTATTTCACATTAACACTCCATTCCTTTTATTTTCCTATTTACCTCAACCGTAACATTTAAGTTTGACTGAGTCAATAATAACTAACAAAGGTTTTAATTACAATCAAGCAACTGCACTATTCCAGCATCTGATATTATTTAGAAAATTAGAATATCTAATATCTATTATTATATCTAAATCTAGGTCATAATTATACTCTAATAGAGTAGAGCTTTCTTAACCAAAAAACTATAAAGAATGTTTGTCATCGTTGAACAATGTTTATTATACATTCCATTATCGGCGGGTTTTTTTTTATTTAAGACTATGTTAGTGGGTTGTATTTTTTATTTTTATATATTTATATATTTTTTTCTTAGGGAGATGATATATGCCATTGCTTTTTACAGCTGTTAGCAACTAAATTATTACGATCGCTGTAAGGACCTTTTTGTATTTTTTTTATTATTTGGAAAATTTTATAGGTCCGTTTACATTAAAAGAAATGTAGCGTTTGAATTGTGGAATGTGCAATTGTGAGCTAATGGGCGCTCAAACTTTTTTTTTAATTACACCAGTCTAAATCATCGAACATTCGGTTTATACATACGGATAATATATTTATGTATAGTTGCGTTTAAGGACTAATTGTATCGTGGTCGACGCTCGGCAAAAACTTTTTTTTTAATATAACAACACACCAACCATAAGCTCATATTATGCGAAATTTTAGAACACTTTGCCGCTTGAAAAGAAGTTTTTGCTAGCAAAGATGTGCTTTTATGGAATACTCTATGTCCACAGATTATATAATAATAAATTCAATCTATGGGAAAAAAAATAACCGAAACTTGTTGTCTATTGCTTCTTCCGAACGAAATGCTTTTGAGGTCTAACCGATGCAATTTTTTAAAGCTATATTTTTACTTCTTTTTTTTTTTTTTTTTAATTCACACCGGCCGTTGCTAAGTGTGTGTGTGTTTTTTTTTTCGGATCTGTGACTAATACAATAATGTTTTGCAGTGGGTGGACGCTAACAACGAAGAGGTAAATAATACATATACGCCTAAGAGAATTCCCCTCTCTTCTCTCTTTACTCCATCTTTCTTCTTTTCTCTTTTTTTTCCTTTCTTCTCTCATCAGCTTAGTGGGGGTCGCTATACTACCTGTTTACTTTCCATTGGCTGTTTATCTCCCTTCCTCTCTCTCTCTCTCGGTCGTGTTTCATAATTGCATCTCTTTCTTAGAGACAGAGATGGTAAGAGAACGCATTAAACTCTGGGGCTACCACACAATTTTGCTTTGTTATAATGATTTCGTAATTATTGTGCAGGTGTTTATGACATTTGATGGCCCAGTTGGCATAGTCGTGGGTTCGACTCCGGGGCGAAAAATTAAAAAATGTTTTTTAGGATACTGCACTCTATATCACATTATCTTATTCCGCTGCTCAACCGGTTAATTTTTTTATCAACCGGTTATATATATATATATATATATATATATATATATATATTCAAGACATTACAGAAGCTAAATTTAGTTTAACTGTAGGCCAATAGTCATCGATCCAAGTTCTTCTTTTATTTCCACCCCAGTCCCTTTCTCTTCGCTGCACCCATTTCTCAGTTTCTTCCGCCTCCTCCCTATCATCCTCTACGGGGCTTGGTCGTATGCGTCGTATGGAGTTGTATTGGATTGTATGTGATCTCTGGAAGTTCCTCTCACTCTCGGGATGATAAATTCTCGCTAAGCGGCTAGCTATTTTTTTTAACTCGCGTTTTCTTTTTCTTGTACCGCGTGAGTCTCAAGGGCATTTCGCACCACCCCCACGTACCCAACGGCTCCGAACGGGCCCGAAATGCATCGAGTATGTACAGTGTAAAAGTAAAGTGGCCTACACGTGTCCCACTACTGGGCAATGGCAAAGGCCCCCTCTGTGTACAGTGTACGGAAGGGGAAAGGGGAGGAAACCGGAGGCAGACAAACCAGAAAGCCGAAAGATGCGGCGAACGGATAAATTAGCTGAAAATGTTGCCACGCATGATGATCCCCACCCCGTACCGCCAGTTAAATGCCCCCCCCCCCTCTCCTCACCTGGTAACCCCCTCCCATTCCGACCTACATACTGTTTTTTATTATTATTATTATTGTTCTCTCACGAATGTTCTCTTCACAACGAACTCCTTAAAAACGACGCTTCAACAGCTTTGCATGCGACGGTTTCGTTTATCGTTTGTCTTGTTTGATTTTTTTTTTAAGTTTGTCTCTAGTAGCAAAATTTTTTTTACAAAGCAAATTCATTATCAGACCTGTACACGCTCGATGTGTTTGCCAGGGGGGTGGGTAAGGAGAATCGATCGGCCAGTCTTTCTCTATCTCGCTTTGGTTGCCGCTCTCACTCTCTTTCTCTTTCTTTGTCGTCTCTTCCTTTGCCCGCTCGCACGCACTACACGCAAGCACGCCGGCGCACACTTCGCCTACCTAACCCCCCCTCCATCCCCTTTACCGTAGGAGATGGCAACATTTTCTCGACTAATTCGCCGTGTTTTCTCTCCCTCCCCCTCCCCCCCCACCGTACGGCGGCCATCTCTTCCGGGGCGCGGCGCAGTGGGTGCAGGACGGCTCGCCCGCGCACTCGAGCACCCCCGTGAAGATAGACACGCTGCAGTTCGTGCCGAAGAACACCAACCCGAAGGAGTTCAAGCAGCTGCAGCAGCAGGTGAGCTGACGGTGACCGTCGACCGGCGACGGTGACCTTCGCTGGTGAACTATGGCCCATCCGAAGGGACTCGAGGGCTAAAGCAAAATTTACGATTGTGTCATTATTTCGTAATACTTACGATTATCTTATTTTCTCGTAAAGTAAGTTGGAATGCGAGTTTAATAGGTGAAGTATCGAAGATGAATCGGAATACTGTATGATGATTGCGATAAATAAAAAAAAAACGCTTTGAGTATAAGACATTACGCGTACTACTTGAATAGAACACTTGAAATAAAATAAATTTATTCGATTGGATTTAATTTTAAGAACGAAAGAAAAAGAGGCCATGCTCTATATGGAAAATGAGGCGTATTTGAACAATCGCGTTCACCGATAATCACTTTGGACCTGTGGGTTTATAAACTGAATGGGCAGGCGCGAGCGGGGAAGATTTACGGCCTCCTAAAGGGCCTTGGTAAAGCGGGAATGTCACATTTTTGTTTCCTGAGGTGATTGAGGTGAACGGGGCTTAATTATTTGAAAGCCAGAGATGATGTAGAGTCCGCGGGTGGGTATATGACTTAACATCAGGTGAACAAGTCAAGAATAAGGCTTGATACGTTCTCGAAAAAAAAACATCATCTTCCTGCCCTTATCCCACCTAGGTGTGGTCGGCACATGTGAATCATGTTGTAAGCGGTTCAGGGTATGTTTTTTGTCCGACGTCAACCCTCCTTGGGGAACAAACAACCAGATCCGGAACAATCATCTGTGGGTCACACAAACACTTGTCCCGTGTGGGATTCGAACCTACGAATCGGGAGAAAAAACCGTTCATTATACGCTCTTAGGGAATTGTAGCGTGATTCAAAACTTGCATACAAGATGTATATGCGACTAAAGGACACTTCTAAGAAAACAAACAGAAGACCACAGCGCTGTTCTACTGTGGTAGGCCCTCGCAACTGTTCGCTGTTACACGAATGGGCAGGTCCGTCCGGGTTAGTACCGCGACCACGCAGAAGATCGACGTAAAGTAGAAGTGTTACACTGCTGCGTTTCGTCTGGTGAGTGAGGTAGCCGGGGCCCACTTTATTCAAAGGTGGCTACGCATCTACGACCCTACGGGTGTTGCAAATTACCATGGGCTTCGGGTATCACTTAACATCATGTGAACCGCCAGCTCGTTTGCCACTTTCTAACTTAACATAAAATAATACGTCTGTCCTACCTGGACGGCATTGATGATACTTATACTATGTTTGGAGTACCAAATTTGTACCAAATATTCTGGTTCTGTTGATGAGCAATTCGACATTATTATGTTCGTTTCGGTAATAGTCTAGTAGAAACTGTAGCGGTCTTAGAGACTTGCTGTCTTGTTAGCTGGTCCTGAAACCGTGTTTCGGTTTGCAACCAGTTGAGATTTTTAGGATTAAGTAAAAAATTTGACCAAAGTACTGAACATTCTATAAATGGCGGTTTTTTTTTTGAAGAAACCGTATTGTTCAAGTGTCTTAATGTTCGAGCGTGATCTTTGCACCACCCCAAGGTCGACTGGGATGGCGTTAAGTCCGCCTTTGTACATAAAAAATATATAAATAAGCTTTTGAAATTGGCTTCAAGTTTTGTTTTCGAATGCCCCTTTGTTGTATTCGTACTCATGGGGTTGATGAGGGTACAATTAAAGAGGGTTTGTGACGAAGCCTAGAGTTAGTAATCTAGAACGTGCAAGGACCGTAAAAATAGACGCAAGATCAGGAGAAGAGCCCGGTTTATGACAATTGCCTGCTGGTAAGAATCGGCTGTGAAGTAGCTCCAGCAGATCAATGGTCTGAGAATGCCCGTAAAGCCGGATTTACACTGGTCAAGTATTTAGTAAAGTAGACGAGTACAGTGAGCAAGTACAGTAATGTAAAACGTCGGACAGTGGTGATAGCCAAGTTGAATTGCAAAAATCCAACCGTTTTTTTTTTGAACACATTTTTACACAGCGTGCTCTAGTCCCAAACTAAGCGACGCTTGCAATATGGGCACTAGATAACTGATAATCATACCATATAACCAACATATTTTTTTGTAAATAAATACATATTATACATATATAGACACCCAGACACTAGAAAAACACTATGTTCATCACACAATATTTTTCCAGTAGTGGGCATCGAACCCGCAACCGCTAGCGCACGAGGCAGGTACACTACCCACAGCGCCATTCGGGTCGTCTACTGTACCTACTCCATGTATTTGTATACTTTGCTAAACACTGGGCCAGCGTAAATTGGGCTCAAGTTGGCACTAGCGGTCGGTACTGAGGCCGGGGTGGCTTGGTGTCCAGATTAAGGAGAACCGTCGCGCGGACAAGATCAGCGCTGGGCCGCAGTCCCACATCCTGGAGGGCGTGACCTGGGACGAGGCGGCGCGTCTGGTCGGCGAGGACGCAGCCAACACGCACACCGGCGACCACGTGGTGAGTCTTATTCTCACTCTCTCTCCCCTCTCGATTCCCCTATCTCTTTTTCTCTTTCTCATCCTTCTTATATTTAATCCTTTTTCAGTCTACATTATTCTTATATCCTTTTTATATGTACGTAATAACTTACGGGATATCTACAGATCAATAACATATACAGGATGACTCAATATGCCCCTGTGGGTTCGGCGTTTGGTGTGTGTAACAATCCCGAAACCCACCATCGCTTACAACTAAGAAGCGTAATACACTATACATCGTAATCCATAATAATTGTCACCGCCTCTTTCACGTATGCTTTAAGGGTTACCTCACCGCGCCGTTCTAGAGCTCCCCTCTCGCTTCCAAGAACTGTCTAGAACATTCGATCAACAATCTCTCACAACAGATTTCCTTGCCTTTTTACTTATGGTCACGGATCCTACGTCTCTCGTCTCATTCATAGTTAATTCCAACTCGTATCGATCCATAGATTCCCGATTCCCACCCCCCCCCCCCCCTCTCTCGCTCCCATGAGCGTTCTTTATAATTTACTGGTCAATTCGTATCGATCCATAGGTTCCCGATTTCTCCCTCCCCCCCCCCCCCCCCCTCCCCCTCGTTGCAAAGAACGTTCTAGAAATGTCCGCGTCGTTCCGGGCAGGTGCTGATGGGCGCCGCCTCGAAGGGCATCATCCAGCGCGGCTACCAGCACAACGCTACAATGTACAGCGCGCCGTACGCGCGCAACCCCTTCGACCACGTCACCGACCGCGAGATCGACGAGTACAAGCGCACCGTCGAGCGGAAGCAGCGCGGCAACGAGTGTGAGTACAACGAGGGTTGGGGGTTGGAACAAGAGTAAACTGACAGCCTAAATATGTCCCACAGCTGGGCAAACGCCTCTTCTGTAAAGAGGGTGTCATGGCGTAGTCCACCAAGCGACCCCACTGCGGACGTCACATATTTTCGAAATATATGCAGGTTTCCTCACGATGTTTTCCTTCAAGGCTGAGCCCGTGATAAGTCAGCACTTAAAATCTACATTTTCATTGGTGCTGGCACCGGGGATCGAACTCAGGTTGCTCGAGTATATTGAATTAAAGGCCAGCGCCCGGACACTGAGCTATCACGACTACTAGAATAAGAAGAATAAAATGTATTGGGCAGTCCGAGATAAAGTTTTTATATGATGGCGAGTGCGATAGATTAGCAATACGCCCGTCTTCAGCAGGAGCTTCTGTTGCAGGGTTCATGGCGTAGGTCTCAGGCAATTAAACCACAAAGATACAGTAGGATATGTCTTGTATTATATCTAGATAATCAATATAGTACAAAGATCCAAAGTGAACCAACGGTGCCGTTTGGAAGTTCTGAACTATATCGTTCTCGTAAAATCGTAGTATAATAATCCGCCCAGATATTTAAAATGTAACAGTTGGAGGAGGTCCAAACTATTCCGATCACGTGACTCGTTACGTCACGGTGTTCACTCCTCACCGTTACAACAATATCAAATGAGTTACAAATTATTGTTAAATAATGGTAATCGATGACGCATATATTATTTCCAACGTCCGTTTATAGACGACACAGATCTATCCGAGTCGGAAGCGGTCAGCGGCGCCCAGATCACCTCGCCGGCCAGCGCCCCCTCCGAGACCGAGGAGGAGTCGCGTGACGGTATGTGCATGTTCACGAGCACACAAACATACATGTTGTAAACCACGAAAACAAATGCACGGATGGGGGCATTGACACGATTATAATGATTTCTTGGGTTTAGGCAAATACATTGCTCACACATAGAACATAACGGAAATCCCATGACCATGAAAAGTCGATGTTAAACTGAATCCGTCGCTATAACATTACACTAGGTCCGTAACGCAAAATATTTCTACTTACTACATAAGCAATGTTCTAAGTTAATACATCTCAAATTTGATTTACCAGCACTCTCATATATCCACAAAAACTGTGGTGCAACGTTATAATTACAAAAAAACTGGTAAATTAGTATGCATCATGTCATACAATAACATAGATCGCAAGGGTTATACACAACTATTCGGTATAGTGAACCTTCACAGCACGGCCCCTTGCATGTATACGTGTACAAACCCTTTGTATCATGCATACTAACACTCAACGACCGAAAAAAGGCGACTATTCCAATCCGTCCTCAAACAAGAATACATTGTCTCAAAATAAATATGAACGTGCATATCTGTCGTTTAAATACACTCGAAGTGCATACTAGCATACGTACTCATAGCATCCGCGCACTTAGCATACGTACTCACGGATAGTAGCATACTGAACGGGCAAACACGTTCTTTCACACGACCAATCTAACAATTTCAGAGCACCGCGTGCTACGGATAGAGACGAAGCAGGTGCCCGTGCGCAGCCAACCCGAGCTGGTGCTGAGCGACGGTGAGTGGCCGTCATAGTGCATGCTATCAAAGCATACCTAAGCTCCCTTACAGCGTGTGCCGATGAAGCATACCATAGGATGCCATGCGACAGATCCTACCTGTTTGAATGCTTAGAGGAATCTAACTAGGGCTGGCTGGTGGAATGCTTACAGAAGACCCCACCTGCTAAAGAGATACAATGTTAGCAGTAGAGCAAGTCAAATACCACTTAGTTGCGACGGTAACCCTCAGGGGTGGTCAGAGTGCCATCGGATTGCTGCTACTAGCTGGCACGACATACTGGTCAGTTTCTTGCGATAAGCTTGTCGTATGCCGTCCACTCTCGAAATACGCGTTCAGACTGAACCGTGACCACACTGACCACCCCCTGTTGGGACGCGGTCGTGATATCCTTGGACGAACAGATTAGATAATTTTTTTTTGCATGTTACAGTTTGACATGCGAATTGAGTAGAGTTCCGAAGCATGGTTTGTTTTGTTATATTTGAAATTTTAATATCATGTTGAAACTTCGCCGAAGGAGAGAGTGAGAGGACTGCATTTTTTGTCGTTTTATCTATTAGTTTCTCTCTCTTATTGGGATTTGAATTCTTCCCAGTGTCTCGGAAATATTCAGATTTGCTTAAATCACAATGTGATCGTTTATGCGCTGAGTATTTATTACTTTCCTACCCACTTATAAATTACGTCACTACTATCTTACTGCCGTAATTTTTTTTAAATGTGATAATACAATAAAATCAGTTATGCAGGGGATGGTCAAAGTTAAAATTTCCTTATTCAATATAGGCTTATTTTGAGCTCTTATTGAACGTTAAACAAACTACCACCGGTCCACTAAACTATACCTGTCCATAGAAGAACCGGCAAGAAACTGCCGTCTTGTTATCTTATATATACAGGGTGGCTTTTCTAAAGGTGCCCAAATTCGCACAGGAGGTACTCGATAGTATAATCGTTTATTGAAATAAAAACAAACTTTTTTTTCAAAAAAAATTGCCATTCTATTCCCTAAAAAGTGTTAGTTATGAATGATCGCGCGTAAAATAAATGAGCCATAAATCACGTACTGTATGAGATAAGTTATAATGAATGTAATTAATTAATTACGAGTGATTTTAAAAAATTAATCATTTTATAAAATATTAGTTATGTCTAAATGGATACACTTAGAAAAACCTCCCTGTATATTTTTAATTACACAAGACAGAAAATGCTCCTTGAAAAATTGAGTTGGAGAAACAGCGCTTTCCTCCCCCACTCTTCTCTCGTCGGAGGCAGATTTTAGAGCATGCTAAGCACCACCCCCATTTTTTGCCCCCCATAGTTGACACCACCGACTTCCTGAAGGCGGAGCGGGATCACGCCGATATGACCAGAGGTTAGTTCGCACCGTGCGGTTACAGGTTCAACTCCCGACGCCGACACTCCTTAAATGCTTCTTGATAAAGTCTCCTTCTCACACTCTTCCGTTAAGAACATCTCCAACTCGCGAACTGCTTGGCATGATTCCTTGACCCGGTAGCAATTGCACGACGGGAGAACTAATGAATCCAGCCATCGAAGGTTTCAATGGAGAATGTCTCGTTTACTTCTCGAGCCAAATCTGGTAAGAGATGCCATAACCTTGCAAGATTCTAGGGATATCTTGCAAATGCAAAGTATTTTATGCAGGCTATCCGTTTCGTGTATTTGGAGACAATTTTATCAGGAAGCATTAATGGTGGATAGATTTTTCCACTTATTTTTTTAACTTCACTGCCAGTCAAGCTAATAGTATGATAAGGAAATTTGAGCCTTAACACCTTAAAATAATGAAGCTTACACGTTTTTTGTGTTCTAATTGAGTTGCACGTTTGAACGATGCATGTAAACTAAAAAATCTTAAGCGTAAAGACTCAGCGAATTAACTATAACCTTATCAATTATAATTTTCTAGATGATGATGGTAAAGAAAGCGTGGTGGTATATTTTCCGTTGGAGAATTGTTAAGATGAAGTTCTCTGTGTCTTTTATATAGTTATCGTTAGGTGCGAAAATGGGATTTTACAATGATCAAATTGTACTATAATAAATTATGCGAGTCTTTTTCTGTGGAGTATATTGCTCTCTTAATGCTTTTATATGTGTGCATTGGTCTCGAATAATAAATAACTTATCATCTAAATCTCCATATGTGAACATTTCAAAGTTCTCCCTACTTACAAATAAAAACTCCCCTTCGTCTTATATCCGTTCTTGGCCATCTGATTGCAAGCTTTGGTGATTCGTTTTATGGACGCGTCGTAAGGATTTCCTGGAAAAAAAAATATTAAAAACGTTCAGTAATTCGCCCCTCATATCGCGTCTCGCCCAATCAAGAGCCCGAGCGAGATCCGAACCTGCTGTCCGACGACGAGGTGTTCCTGGACTCGACCGCGTCGACGGGCACTTCGAGCGTGATCGTGCCCGCAACGTCCACTGTGGTGGTGCGGCAGTATACCGCCGCGGCGGCAGTGCAAGGCGCGGTTGGCCGAGGTCAGAAAGGGTTGGCCGGGGATGGGGGTGAGGCCGAAGCGCACGTGGGTTGCGGTGGCTTATGTCCAGTCGCCCAAGGCCGGTGGCACACTCCCGAAGGGCATTGTGAACATGATCAATTTGTCAACTCGTGTCCGTTTCTCTCATTTGTGAGTCGCTTTCAACCCCCAAGTCTTCGGAGTTGGTTTTCATTGGTTTAGACTCGTCATCATTGCGCTCATCAGAAAAATCGGTGCCTGGGACTGAAATTTGCCCGGACAATATCCACTCAGTAATCCTCTAATCACACATACCCTTTCAAAGCTTGGACTCTTTGAAATCGAGAATATTGAGATACTGGGGTTAAATTGTCATTGTATAATGTCGCTTTTGGAATTCGTTTATCGTTTAATCGATCACTGCTGTGTATTGATTTTCATATTTGTCATCATGAGATGGTTTTACTTCGGGAAAGATCATCATGGTTAAATCTATTTCAGTTAACGACAAATTCGCTTTCACATCATTGAGTTGCCATTTGGTTTATGCAATTCATTTGTCTTCGTCCATAGTAATCCGTCGCATTACGTAAATACGGATATTTTATCGAATCATCTAAAGCTTGGATGTTTTGCTATTTTATTAATGGGACGATCTATTTTTGTCGATGTATTTTTTACCTTGTAAAACCTTTTGTGTGAACATTGTGTATTTTTTTAAAAATATAAGCAATGAATGTACCATCAACGCTATCGACAACACCTGTTTTACTCATCAGCACTTGCTTGCATATTTCATCTGACCTAACACGTGTTCATTGCATGCAGGTAAACTAACAACCGAGCGCGTCACCCTCGAGGAAGCACTCGCATCTAACTCACGCTCGAAGCATGGCTATTCGCGCAATCCTAACATTGACGATTTCATATTGAAATTCGACTCTAGCGACATCGAAAAACACCCGAAGTGCAAAACGAGTCTCAATCTTAAATTGAACTCTGCCAATTGTACGGACGTGTACAAAAGCTGCGAACTCGTCAGCGGCACCAGTCTGAGTTCGATACCGTCGATAGACTCGGACCTTAGGGTTCGCGGTGGTCATTCGTACTGCACTCACTCCCTCCCGCGACAGAGGGTTCGGGGCTCGGCTAGCAAAATTTATAGGACCCGTTCGTATAGCGGCTTCGTTAATTCCTACATCAGAGATCCCGTACCCAACCACTTCCACTTACCTGAACACCGTACTAGATGTTCGTCAGAGCATTCGGACGGATATATCGCAACGGACTCCGACCTTTCGAAGTACAAATCGCGCAGCTCGCTCTACTACTCCCTCGACAACATCGATAGGAAATTTCCAGACGAACACTATTCGGAATTCAAAGTGAACGTAGTCAGAGTGTTAGAGAAATCAGTGCCGGTGTACCAAGTCGACCTAAAACCGGCGGCCGAATTCGTGGAGAGTCAAGAGTTCACCGAGGACAATTATTTGGACGACATGAACGATAGCTTGTCAACAGAGAACCAAACTGTCGTTGAAAATCGCGACGGTGACGCATTTGTGAAGAGGGGGACTTCAAAAGAAGGGAAAGCTGCAAATATAGAAATCAAAGATGACAGAGGAGAAAAGGTCAATAATGATATATCTGAACGAGATGTAGATAATGCGAATCCGAGTGAGATTTCGACAGTGGAGGGAGAATACCATAGTTTCCAAGACGATACCGATTACGAAGAAGCCGTTTACGACAGCCCCGTGAAGAAACTAATGGAAAAAGACATTAGGGATTACTCTGTTCCGATCGACTTTTTCTGCTCCGACTACGGAAGGAGTAATGCCGCGCCACCAAAGTCGCCTAGGCATGACATGGGCAAAATTGTCCTCGAACCGATATTGGAGGAGTCGAAGAGCTCTAATAGCGATGACTCAAACGTAAGTAACATCAGATCTGAAAATAAAGCATCGATAGATACACCATCTGACGTCGGGAAGGTTTGTGCTGAAAACAATAGTAATAATGAATTGGAATCCGATAAAGAAAATATGAAAATAAATCCAAGTGGAAAATTAACATCCGATTCTGTAGAAAAAACCTCTGAAGTTATCTTAAACGAGCACACGTTCCGCGTTCCTTATAAACGAGATAAAACGAAAATAGATGATAAAGCAATATCGGCTGGCGACAGAGTGCGATCGAGTTGCAACAGTCTCACTAATTCGGACGCTGGTCACAGCTTCGATTCCACAGCGGAATTCGAGAAATTTGAAGTTGTGACCGAAGTGCTCGGCATTATAATCAACCGGATCAACTTTGAAATCTCAATAACCACACCAACGCCTCCGAACATCTCTGAGAATAATAATTTTGAGGAAACCGATCGAGCTTCAGTCGATGGAGACACTTTTTCTATAGTGCAGATAGTAGAAAGTATGGAAAGACACGTGAGCCTTGACTCAACTGATTTGACGGACGCTAGTGATGCAAATTGCGAACAAACGCATGGAATAGTCGAGGCTATTGTTTATTACGTTTTCGATGCAGCATTCTACTTCGCAACTCACAGACACAAGAGGAAAGATAAGCCCGCTAAGCAAGTTGTTACCGTTGCCGACAGCGAAGATATACTATTCACGACCGCGCCCCAATTTTTAAGAATCGACACGGATGCTGCTGAAAACGTAGCCCCGATTATATCTGAAATAGTTGAGGTTAGCTCGAGGTTAGATAAATCATTCAATTTTGAGGGCAATGAATTTTTAAAAGAAGATGAGGATAAAGCTATTGAGAATATTTCTAATATTAAAATGGATATGGACGAGAAGGCAACCGATGACAATCTCAAAGATCTACTAACCTCTGCCCCGGATAAGATTTTGCATGGATATGGATTGGAAATTAGAGTTGACAATTTTGATGTCAACGATAGCGAATGGTCTATTCAGTGTCAATGCAGTGATACCTTAGAAGGATCTGAGGAAGTTGCATCAATACGCTACGCTCTAGAAAATTCAGAAGCCAGCTCGGTAGCGACACTACAAGGATCAGTAGAAGAGACTACAGATCCTGGGCTGAACGAAACTTTTACTCTGACGACAGGTGAGTTAGGGAATCTGAACACGGCGTTTGTCGAAGATACGAATGATACATACAGCCGCTCGTCTTCTCCAAGACGGTGGAATTCCATAATGGATCGTTGCACCGAGTCGCCGATCTTGAACACGGACGCCTCATTCGCCGGCAGCGAGTTGAGCGTGCCGTACGAAAAGGACGACACCATATTGGGCTCTCCCTTCATCAGGCGCGCGCCAGTCATCGCCATGTCGCAGACCGAGAACAGCCGCGGCGTCAAGTACTGGCTGTCGTTCGACGATAGCATCACAGAGTCGAGTGATAGACCTGGCCGCAGGAGTGTCAAAATCACACAGGAGGACAAAAAAATGCCCAGTTTCTTATCCATAGATTGTGGTAGAGGTCGCAGACGGACAGCTGACTGGAATACTAGAAAGTTGGCCGGAAATTACGATGCTGGAGAGGGAAACATAGACTGGACTTCGGGAGAAGTAAGGGATTGCGGTGATGAAGAGGTATCGAGAGATATACCCGTTGGAGACGTATCTCAAGACTGGAACGCGGGAGAGCCGACTAGAAATTGGGATTTCGGAGAGCTGAGAGATTGGACAACAGAAGGGGCTACTGGAAACTGGCACATAGCAGAGTTCTCAGCGAATCGGAACTGCGTGTTACTCAAGGACGATCGGATACACGGCAGCGTAAATTCGACGAGTTACAACACCGCGTCGCCCTCTAACGCCGATTACACAACTTGCGAGTCTTCTACCATCGGAGCGAACGACACTAAGGTTTCGGAGAGACTTATATACGATTCGAGGGCCGACGCCAAACGGTCTGGTCGCAGGCTGTACTCCAGTTGGCCGCCGTACGAAGAAACCCTTCTATATAGGATAATATCCCAGTTCAGGATGTCCGAGAGCTTCGATCCTAGCTCGTTGCAGCTCGACAGCAGCTTATGAGGTCCCCAACTCCCGAATCCAGGCCGGTTGTTAGGGATCTTAATAACTTCCCAATTGCGTTCTCATTACGCAATATCGATATATTTTAGATTGTTAACGATATAGACCAATAATTGTTTTTTTATTCATTGACAGTAATAAAGTTAGGTTATTCTTATTCGGTGATTTAGATATTTATTGAGAACGATGTACGGAGGACACCACGGAAGTTGTAAGCTGTCACCAGTTTACGATAGTGATTTGTGTATATAATATAAAAAAGGAACGACCAAATAACTCAAGTTATGTCCGAAATTTAGTTTTAAAGTCGACATATAAATGTAGTTAAGTCCTGCCCCTCTACAATTATTGATAAGCTGTAAGACATTTTATTTTCATATATTTAATGTGTGTTTCTATCAATTTAAAAACGCCCCCGTCGGGTATTTTTCGATGTCACAGTTTCGTCTGTCTCGTTTGTACGCATGCTTGCTAGCTTTGTCGCCGTTTCGTTTGTAAGAGCTTTTCAATTTGATATTTTGCGTCTGTGCCGTTTTTATTGTATTATATATTGTTTGCTTGAATGTTTTTTTTTTTTTTAATTTTACCCTGAACACATCCGAACTTTGTGTAGTCTGTGTCGTGTTGGGGGGAAATTTTTATACGTAAGCTTTTGTAAAATAGTACCACATTGAGGGAAGAGTCGGATAAAAGGGACGGACGATTGATTTGAGTGCATGAAAGAAAGAGATAGGAGTTTATAATACAACTTGGGCTTATTCTAATGGTTTAATAACCTCTAAAATTGTGTTTAGCATCAGTTCTGTTGCTGGACATAATGTTTATAACAGATTGAAATATAATTTAATTAACATGTGTACATTAATTTACAATAATAGTCTGCAAGTCCCACTTCTGGGCAAAGATCGAGTAGTATTGAAATAAACATTTCTAAAATATACATTGTATTTCTCGTAACAGAACTAATGCTGCTTTCTTAAGGTTTTTTATTTCGTTTGTAAGATGGCGTTTTTTTTTTTTTTCAATTTTGTGCATGTAATAAAAGATTTTTTCGTACCGAATTTATTTTTATTTAACTCGTATGTAGCCCAAATTTGATAATGGATGTATCGTTTTTCTACATGTTTTAATGGATGTATCGTGTTATAACGAAATACAAATAAAAAAATATCTGCTATGTTAATTGTTTAACTTGTTTAGTCAACATTTTGATTTACATGTTTTCGATATTGTGAGCTTGTAACGTTTGAGCTTGAAATGCAAATTGTGACCACTCGGTTTTGGTTAACCGACTTTGTCAGTAATAAAGGTGAGTTGGTTGGTGTTTGCTTTCGTAGTTTTCCCCTTTAGTGCTTACGATAAGTTACTGATATTTTTATGTAAAGGTAAGAATCCTGTTATAGCGTTCTTTACAAGAAAAAAAATCGCTTCATGTTTTATGCAGACATCTTATGTCAAAAAATAGAGAACTTAGGATAGCGCAGTTTACAACATTCGAAACAGATTAATAATATATTGATTTGATTTAAATTGAAAACTTATTTTATTGGGCTCTATTCTCTACATTCTACTATCATATACTGTTTTTGGGTTATAAATTATCGATAATTATGACTTATTCAGCGTGTCGTTACCATCGCGACATTAAATGAACACACGTCTAACGCTACTTGCCAATAATCATAAAAAAATATTAACGTTAAATAAAATCCATAATTAAAAAAAATATTTTACAAACAAACAATTAAGTAAAAAAGAAACAAAATTTGTAACATCCTATACAACTCGCGCCACAGCGTCGTATTACAAGCCTCTCCTTCTAACAGTATGTTTTGTCTCTTTTAAATTCATTCAACCCATTCATATGCTTTCTGACCTTTACAAATGAACTTTACGTTACGCTTTTATAGGTAAGGGTGGTCTAAAATTCTTTGTTTTGGAAAATTTAATAACTCTGTAAATATTGATGTTTTAAGAATTTAAATGTTTAATACAACTTTAAAAAATTATCCCCTATACGTGTGTTCATTTATTGTCGTGACGGTAACGACACGCTGTATATAAAGGAACCAGTTTTTGCGAGTAAATGCATGAAATGTTTGATGAGTCTTAGATGGCTGAATTCTGCCCTAGAGCACTGTTTCTATGATCAGGATCCCAATTCGGATATTTGTCCAAATTTTACTAGGCCTAAGTCTATATATTGCCACAACGATGAAATACGAATAATTTAAGACAATAATTAATTTCTTTTTAACGATAATTTTCCAAAAAAAAAAAAACTACATTATATTTTGGAATTCCGTCGAAATAACCCAAGGTGAACTCACTCCAACCCCACTTAAACCGTTTCCAGGCGAGCACACGCTGAACGGTGACCACTCCGACGCCCACCAGAGCACCTTCTCGCACAGCAGTAAAGAGGTGAGCCACCGTCTAGAAGAAAACACTCGACAGCAACGATAAAAAAATAAATTGCAATAGCTATACTCGGCGCGACTGAGTCTTCGAGCCATAAGTATTTTCTCGCTGAGTCGTCGGGCCATTACTTAAAGTCTTATCTTGCTCGCATTTTTGGGTCTTATGGAGCCGCATAGTGATGTTAATAAAAGCGCATATCGCTAAGGGAAATAATAATATAGAAACATAAGTATTTTGAATCTGAAAAATGCCATTGTGTAATGTTATATAAATAACATTTTATTCTCTGAACCAGGCCATATATGTCTCGGTCCATTTCAGTGCGGTAATCACCGTCATTACACTCAAGTACCAACTTAATTACCACAATGACTGATCGGCCACACGTGCTCAGGTGGTGACGTATCGGTAACATGTTCTGCCGAAAATTTCTGTCACTATTGACGTTTATTGCCCGACGACTCAGTTGATAACGCGCCATAAAGGAATCAACATTATATTACGCCGAGCATTGTTAAAAATGCACTGAGAACATATGAGACGTCGAGATTTTCGCGCGCTAAGCAAGTCGACCACTTAGCTTTGTGGATAGAGCGTTTGCACGCGTAATCCGGGACGCACAGGTTCGAATCCTGGAAGCCTAGAAAAGTTTTTCGACAGCTCTGTCTACACTCGACACCAATTGACACATTTGACGAATCGTCAGGTCACGCACTGGAAAGTGTTGGAGCTCGACTGAGGATATATATTTGTCTTTCGTCCGATGAGGCCTTTGAGAAAATCTTTAAATCCATTTCGACCATTTGTATCGTTATGTAATAGCCAAATCTCTGTTCACCTCGGTGAATATCAGCTTGAGTTTGTTGGTCTCTCAACGGCAGATCGCTTCCCAGGGCTCGCCCTCTAAGGAGGTCTCCACCGAGGACTCGCCCAAGAAGGACAAGAAGAAGAAGAAAGGCCTCCGGACGCCGTCCTTCCTCAAGAAGAAGAAGGAAAAGAAGAAGGAGAAATCGAGCACGCCGCAGCCCGCCTAGAGGTTCGAAGAACGGGTTCACTCTTGGAATACAAACAATGTCACAATACTGCATTACGTATACAAATCATGACCATATATCGCACCTTAAGAATTATAAGCGACCTAATTAAGAAAATCATGATTTTGACCATGTTAGGAATCCATCTAAAATGACTAACTATTTTGACTCTATTAAAACAAGGGCCGATTTTAGGAAGCTATACAGGATGATTTTATAGACTAAATCTGAATCTTGTACGTACTTGTGACCTCATTTTATTTTCAAAGCTTATTTTTAATATTTCAAACATTATTAGACACCTTAATAAATTCCTGCTTAACCGTCTCGATACAATAACCTATTGAAGAGCACTAAAACTTTTCGCTGAACGCGTAATTACTAAACCGCTTATTAACAGGGTGACCACTCTTAACGGGATAAACTAATAATGTTTGAATTGATATTTTTTTTTGTTATTTCTTATCAAAATAAAATATTAATATATTTTTTGAATTATGGAATGCTCAATTAACATTATGTAAAAGTATGTACTTCGTCTAAATAATCACCCTGTATAACGTATACTTAACCGCGTTTGTTCATAAGTGTACAAATCTTTGTTTTACGTTTCTCAAAAATTTATATTTTTTAAACATGTCACTGTAATTCTAAAGTTACGATATATGAAAATGATTAATATGACAAAGATACAGTTAATGTAACACCACTATAGACTAAATCCATTGACCAAGTTCACAACTCTCATAACTTTATTTTTGAAATTAAATGATATTGTGGCTGGCAACACAGATTCCAATATAAAATGCCGTTGTACTGCAGCGTTACATCACAATGACTGTTAATCAATCTGCTGTTCTTGTCATCGTCCAGTACGATCTATGGTCTGTCAAAGCCTTGGCAACTACGAACTCAAAATAGACCCTGTGTTCATAACGGGACCCTATTGCTAAGAGACCGCTGTTTGTCTGTCTGTCCGTCTATTACCAGGTTGTAACTCGTGAGGCGTGATAGTTAGACAGTTGAAATTGTCACAGATGATGAATTTCTGTTGCCACTATAACAACAAATACTTAAAAAGAGGATACAAAAAAATTTCAGTGGGATTTTTATAGATAACGGTACGGAACTGTGTACGGGAGTCAGACTCGCACTTGGCCTCGGGTTTCATTGAGATTCGACACACTCTGTTGTTCATCATACCCTCTCTCTTTTCAGATAAAACTCCAAAATCACACTGCCATGTCGCTTCGGGATACTTCGTAATCACCAAGAGCGAAACTCTAACGGGATTAATTACAGTTGTAATATTTTATTTTGGTCTAATTTTTAAACGTCTAGCGCTTTACGCAGTTGCATATTCAGCAGGGGACGACGGGAACGGAACGCGTCCCGGAACGTTGTGAGTTCGTGTATTGACCCACCTATCGGCGTGAGGAACGTCACGCGACGTTCGCAAGTGAGGAGCGCTTGGTCGACGAAATCGACGCCCATTCGGCCAATCGCAGAGCGTTCCTATAATTCCGACCAATCACGCAGCAGCTATTTGGACCAATCACACGGGGGCTTAGAGCTTCGACTAACCGCACCAACCGTTTCGACCAATCACAGAGCGGCTCTGGATTTTCGACAAATAACAGTGCCGCACTCAAACCGACAACGCTGAATGTTGAATTTCGACCAATCGTTCCACACCCGACCGCGCGCCGACTCGGCGTTTTTTTAATTTATTCGACGACGGAATTTCCCGGACTTTTTTTTTTACAATGATAATTTCAATTTACCCGACACGAATTCGTTCGACATTGTGACTTGCCAACAAAGCAGATTCTATTGTTTAATGTTTTTCCACGTCTCGACGGTCCCGATGGGGAATTTCCCCATTTTGTTTTGTGTAAATTTATATTTTCGCCTCACGCCAACGGGCTGTATCCATTTTGCGCAAAAATGGAGCATCGCAGATCCCCCTTCGCCATACTTGTCTGATAAGTCGCACCGCTATCGGATTGAAGTGCTCCCGCGGCTCGCCCAGCCGTGGGATTCGTGGGAGCCCCGTCGGGGCCGTCGCGCGGTAATATGGTGCATTCTATAACTTAACGGCATGTAATGCTTCCGGGGCCCGAGCAGTCCGCCTGGCCCCGTGCCATCTGTGCTTTTGGACCCTAACCGTAGCGGTAGGTTCGACCGCGCCGTCCGCTCGCGCACGCCTCGCAATCCCTATGACAGTAGACCGTACTCACCTTCGAATAAGGTACAAAACGCTTCGAGCACGGCGCGTGCACTAGCCGACTGCGCGGACACTGCTTTCGGCATCGGCCGCGGTGAGCGGTTGACGGCTGTCGGCTCCCGCGGCGGCCATCTTGGCGCGCTGTGGCGGCAAACCTGACAGCTGTCAAACCGCCGCCGCGCTCCGTTGCGCGGGATAGTTTACGAAGAGTAAAGTTTATATGTAAGCGTTCTATTCGATTTAAGGAGTTATCGGCTAGCTAACTTGTAGTTTTCCCTTTTTATATATAAATATATATCTAATAAAAAAAAAATCTATTTATTTCGTTTTGAGGCGCACCCGCGTTGCGAGCGACATGACGCCCGAATCGTAATTAGTATATTGCCTATTGTTTAGTCTGAGTCGATGTTGAAGTACAGAGTAGCGGTGCATTTAAGTGTTTGCTCGGCGTCCATGTCGTTTGCGCGCGCGTACGCTGTGTACAATCGATTCGGGGCCCGTTGGTCGCCATTTTCCAAGATGGCGGCCTCGTTACTGCCACGAGGTTCGTCAATTTGACATTACCTAGAGACGCTCTAGCGTTGTTAAAATGAAAAGTTGATCTTCGTCCCGTTTCCACTAGATCGAACCGAGGCTCGATCGTTGACCATTGAAATTGTTTCACGTATTTCTAATGTTAAGTGACGCGCCACATCAGCACGTTGTGGACGGCGGCCGTTCTGTGTATTTTGTAATGTTTTTTTTTTTGTCTAAATAAATTATTGAAGTTTTTAGCTTACGACAATCGAGAGGGCAAATTGAAAATTCTATTTAGTGTTTCCACTCTGACGACTTTTACTGTTATTTGACTCGTCCTTCCGGCCGTCACAAATGTTGCCAGGCGAGAGATCGCTGGTGTTTTTTTTTTTTTTAATTTTTAATTATTTCGTAGTCGTATAAGTTTTTAGCTTAAAAGAGTTTATTTGTATCATGTATTTTTTTATTTCTAAAATATATGCTGTTTGGAAGATTTATTATGGATGCGTGTTGTTTCATTTTATTTTTGATCATCGAATGTGTTGAGTCTACGGAAGGAAATGTTTTATTAACGAATTATTCTTACGGTTGCGAGAAAAACCATATATTTTCGACTAAGAAATGTAAAATTTAAGCAATGTTTAAATAATTTAAAAGGCTTTGTTTAATTCCTATTGTTAAAGCCATTACTACTAAATGAAGATGTTTTAGATGTTTGATTTTATAATTAATTGTTGAAAAACAGGAAAAGCCGTAATAGCTCATTGTCATGATTCTTGCTTTCAATAAAATATTAGTACTGGAGCAACCCGAGTTCAATCCCCGTTTCCGAAACCAATTAAATTGTTATTTTTAAGTGCTGATTTGTTTTGTGTTTTAAGTGCTCAGCAGTGAAGGAAACATATTTTCGAAATAAACAAGAAAAAAATATTATGAAGACACGTGAAGCACGCCTATACGTATTGGCTCCCCACTGCCTGGTGGACCATGCCCTATACTCTCTGTACAGAGATGGCCTTTGCCCAGCAGTGGGACATGTATGGGTTTAATTTTTTTTTAAATGAAAAACAAACGATGATAAATAAATACCATCTTTTCATTTGAAATTTCCGTGAGATAACATAAGCCTTTCACCACCAATTCCTAAACAAAAATAATTATTTAAAAATTAGAAGCTTATATAAATCAGCTAAAATTATATAAATAATAATATTAGAGAAATAAGCAAATTAATCGTCGTGTATCTCAAAACTTTTACGTCACAGAGAGATAAGTGACAATTCTATCAAAATTGCTGGTAACTGACAAATAATGTAAAAAAAATGTAAAACTCAAAAAAATATTAACAAAAAGATCGACCGGAGAGGCAATGGAGAGTTCAGCAGAAGTATGGAGAGTGCAGGTAAAAACTACAAAAGAAATAACTCTTTTGTCTAATGTGGAACCTAAACTCGGCGAGTACCTGTTTACAAAAAGATGCTAACAAAGTACCTACAATAAAAAGATGTAAATGATGTAATACATCATAGATTTTAAATTCTCTTCCGCATTCCCGTTGGGGGTTGTTATTATATTATCTCACTAAAAACCATCAGTCTGACAATAACTGTTATTTTCTCTTCTTTGTTTATTTATGAGAGAACATATAGCATAACAGGACAATCAAATTACTTGATAAAAAAATAAATATAAAATGAAAAATAATGGACAAATTCAATCTTCACATAAGATTTAAATTCTTTAGGTACTTATTTTGAACGTAACATGTCGATTACAACTTTAATAAAATATACAAAAGCAAATATTGGTCGATTACATGAAGTGAGAACCACTGTGGATAGAGAAGTTTATCTTTCCAATTCCCATGCGAATTAGTGTAATTTCCCCAAAAATGTTCCGTTTGAGCACAACGCCATCTAGCGTCGCGAAACGTTTCCAGCTGCTCCCCTACGACAGAAGCGTATGCGGGGGCGACGAGAAAAAGCGCGTGCACCGCAAGCGGCAGAGGCATCCAAACGCGCTCGGCCTGTGCAAGATGGTGCCTGGCCACATGTGCGAGTTTCTCTCCCGCTTCCTCGACTACGTGGGCGAGGTGGCGAAGCTGGCCTCGGGCGAGGCGGAGACCCGCGTGTGCGACACATTACTAGAGCTGTTCCAAGTCCTGAGCGTTTTGGGCCGCGACGTGGCCTCCCTCGTCAAGTGCTACTTCAGCTTCGTGCGGAGGGCCTTCGTTAAGAGACTCTGAACGCGGCCGCGGTCAGAGAGGAAAAGAGACGAACGATGACATGACCTGTCACGGAGAGGAAATAATAGTCCCTGATCCGCGAAAAAATTTTGCCCGTGGACTTTTCGTTTGGTGTACATTTGAGATTTCTATTAGTTTATAGTGATGTATGCTGATATATCGGCAGGTTAAATGTGTGAAATATATTAAACTATTATTGAAAAGAAAATTCTATATTCATACCTGCATAAATTTATTATATATATATTTTTATAGTGCTAATTTCTGCACTCAAGATTAAACATTAAAAATTGTAGAAAAAGTACGAAAAGATTGTCGCCGCTGTGGGAATCGAACCACGTCTTCGGCATTCGCGGCCTGATAAATAAAGAAATACAAAAATATTGAATTAATGATCGCACGGACAAATTTACTGCACATGTAAAGTATAAAGGACATCCAGGAAAGACATTCACTAGGATCAACAAAGTGAACGTCATTTCTAAAAATGAAAATACATTCAATGAACACTAATAAAGACTGGATCAACAGTGGAAAGGGTAAAATTAATAATAATAAATATATTAGGACACACTTTTACAATGTTCTCTAGTCCAAACATAAGCAATGCTTGTACTATGGGTATTAGATTACTGATGAAAATACTTTTCTTTTGTAAATAAATACATTTTATACATATATAAATAAACACCCAGGCACTAGAAAAACACTATGTTCATCACACATTTTTCCAGTATTGGGGATCGAACCCACAAACACGCGCAGTAGGCAGATACACTACCTACTACGCCGTTCGGGTCGTCAAAATTAAAGGAAATATGAGGCGAAAAATATTTTTGTGTCATCTACCACTACAAAACAAGGTGTGACCATATGTATGTAGTACTGTTTAGGTACATATCTTCCACTCAGAAACAAGTGTCTGGTTATAACACTAATAATGAAACCACCTTTCAAAAACTTATTTCATTTAATATTTTCATTATTCTCTTTTCCTATACAAAAACAACAACCTCCGAGAGAAATTTACAACACCTAATAATCATCTAGAAAAAAATAGGCATAATTCAAAAGTATGTCGTTAACAATCACAATTGGAATTTTACAATGAACAATCATCACTCCCACCCGAAAATTTACGAAAATTCAACGAAGACAACACCTAAAATCACCACAATGAGGGTAATTGTTATTTTCTTCTAATTAAAAATGAACTGTGTCATAGGCCCTAAGAGCATTCTGCCTAGGACACAATTAATTAGTTAATAACAGTAAAATTATCACTAAATTTACTTCCTATTTCACTAAAGCAACATGACAGTTAAATGAAAATCATAACATTCCTAGGTGAAGAGACTATCTCATAATTCAACCTAAGCTGGCAAGAAGAGACAGATGTTATCTTAAATATAAGTGAAAAAAAAAGCGGGTATATCCCTGACAATTTTCAATTTTCGTATTTGTGTATTATTTTATATGCAAATAGAAAATTTTTGTATATAAAATACTACTTGTACAAAATGCAAAATGATTTTATTCAATTTCTTAATTGGTATGTCTTCCTTTTTTCTGGTTTAATTTCAAAATTAACTTATTGACATAATTAAAAAGAATCTAGCTTTTTAGCATTTGGGAAACTGGACTAAAAGCCCCATCTTTTGTCAAAAATGCGCATTAATTTTTTTTTTAACACTGTCGGTAAAAGTTGGATGTATCAATAATTTTAAGTACATAGTTTGCCATAAAGTGATATTTTCTAAGAAAATAAAGCCATTTTAACCCACAGAAGGAATTACTTACGATAAAACTAAAGTAAAGACAAAATCAAGGCAATAGATAGATCATCACAATGTGTCAGACTGAGTTTTTTCAAATGGAAGTAACTTTGTTTATATTTGCCTGTGATATCGCCCTATACATATCACCTTAACATTGATTTTTGAAAAACCTTTATAAAAATGATACAATACTTTGTTTATAGAAAACTGATTCTTCTTTAGCCAGTGATACTGCCACAGTAATGTTATAAAAAGATTACTTTTTATCAAATTCCGATCATGTTGAGAAACTAAATTCATTTCGCGGAATCATAATGAATGTCTGTCACATAGACGGTTTGTTAAAAATGAAATATGTTTGAACAAATAGTAGAGTTCAGCATAGAAATACAAATGAGACAATTATTAAAAGTGAAAATTTTAAAAGTATTTCATTGGAATGAAGACATGTGCATTTGATTTATTTTACAATTTGTTTCGTTAAGAAAATAGTATTTCGTTTTAAAATAGTAATATGATCAAGTGTTTGCACTACATTTTAATACTTCAGATAAACAATTTTGCATATCTTTGTATTTTTTCCTAATGACCAATATATTAACTACCTCAATTTGGGACTGAAAAAATTATTTTTATACACTGCATTTGTGAAATTTTATAACAATGCAAATTATATGTGTTCTGTCCTTAACTTGTGGTCAAAGATATGCCAATTTTAAACAAGCCTAAATTTTTATTGTTGATAATATCATTTCACGGTTTTCAATGGGGTGCACAGACTGGGGCAAGTTGGTTAAGCATCACCGGAGCATCCTCTGATTTGGCAACAAGCCTACAACACTCCAAAAGGAAAACATAACATTGTCGGTTATAACAAAAAAACGGGCCCTGTGATAATAGACCTTAAGTGCATTAAGTACAGAAATCGCGTACTAAGCGAAGTAAGACCTCCACCTAACCCTACTACCCGTATAACAAAATACACTAGCTTTTACCCGTGGCCTTGCCCGTACATTTGCGATACATAGCTTTTGCCCATAGCGAATTACATTCGAATCTGTCCGGCCATTGCTGCTGAAAGTGGGAAGAAACTCGCAAACTTATTCGTAATGATAGAGCGTTCCCCTTCAAATCCAGGTGTGCCTGATGCTCGGACCTAGTCATCAACCGACAGAACACCTCACTACATCAATCTTACACAGGAAGGCGACTCCAGTTTGAGCACTCGTCGAGTACACTTGTCTACACTTTGATTTGAACAGTCCCAGCTTGGAACTGGTGCCGGGCTGGGCCGGCTGCACGCACTAAGGCACTACGACACTTCCGCACTGCACTGCCCCAGCCGCGGCGCGTACTTCTCCAATCGAAAGTTGAAGTCCTGCGTGCCGTGGATCGTGCGCACGTGGATCCTGAGGTAGCTGGGCCGCGTGAAGAACTTGTGGCAGATGTGGCACTGGTGCTTCTTGAGCCCGCTGTGCGTCTCAAGGTGGCGCTTCAGCTTGCCCCTGGTGATGAAGCCCTTGCCGCACTGCTGGCATATGTACGGCTTCTCCTTGGTGTGCGTAAAGCTGTGCAGCTTCAGGTAGTAGTGCAGCTTGAAGCTCTTGTTGCAGACCTGGCATACGTGCTTCTTGACCTCGTCCTCCTCCTCCAGGGCGATGCGGTCCCCGTGGCTGCGCAGGTGCTCCTCGAGGTGCTGGAACTGCTGGAACACCTGGCCGCAGATGTTGCACATGCGGCTCCTGCCATCTGTCGCGCCCTCCGCCTCGGCCTCGTCCGGTTGCGCCGCCTCAGGGTGCTTGGGGATCCGTCTCGCGTTCTGCAGCACCATCGCTAGTATCTCGCTCCGGTTCTCCTCGACTATCCTGCGAAACGGGAGGAAACAGCAAACATATACAGCGTGTCGTTACAAACGCGATAATAAATGAGCTACTAAAATGGGCGGCGGTTATCACTCAGCATCCGGTGAGCCAGCAGCTCGTTTCCCACCTCACATAGAACACATCAAGGTGCCGACCATGCCAGGTCTAGTTCCGGTGGAAGCTTTTGACGTTCGATAAGAGCTTAAAACGAGCCCGTATCGAACGCACCGAGGTCCCTAATAGGACCCGGACAGACGTCGCCACTGTGGCACTAAAAGCTCCTGGGTCCCTAGTAGGACCCGGACAGACGTCGCCACTGTCGCACTAAACGATCCGAGGTCCCTAGCCTAGTAGGACCCAAACAGATGCCGCGACCGTATCACCCCAAGCGGTGTAAGGCACTCACAGCCCCTCCCTCTGGTGCGTGGCGAGGTGCATCTTGACGTGGTACTGTGTGTTGAAGAGGTGCGCGCAGACCGGGCACTCGTAGCGCAGCGCGTAGCGGCCCGGCCGGTGCGCCGCCGCGTGCTGGCGCAGCTTGGCCCGGGAGCCGAACGCCCTGCGGCACACGCCGCACAAGTGCTGCTTCTCCGCGCTGTGCTGCTTGCGGTGGTACACCTGGCGGCGGAACCAAAGTCTTAATTCAAAATGTCTTTGTTCAAATAGACGCCAGCGCCGTCTGGCGGCGGAACGAAAGTATAAATTCAAAATGACTTTATTCAAATAGACGCCAGCGCCGTCTGGCTCTAAATTCAAAATGACTTTATTCAAATAGACGCCAGCGCCGTCTGGCGGCGGCGGAACGAAAGTAACGAAAGTATAAATTCAAAATGTCTTTTGTTCAAATAGACGCCAGCGCCGTCTGGCGGCGGAACGAAAGTATAAATTCAAAATGACTTTATTCAAATAGACGCCAGCGCCGTCTGGCGGCGGAACGAAAGTATAAATTCAAAATGTCCTTTTGTTCAAATAGACGCCAGCGCCGTCTGGCGGCGGAACGAAAGTATAAATTCAAAATGACTTTATTCAAATAGACGCCAGCGCCGTCTGGCGGCGGAACGAAAGTATAAATTCAAAATGTCTTTGTTCAAATAGACGCCAGCGCCGTCTGGCGGCGGAACGAAAGTCTAAATTCAAAATGACTTTATTCAAATAGACGCCAGCGCCGTCTGGCGGCGGAACGAAAGTCAAACATTCAAAATGCCCTCATTCGTCGTCGTAGATCGTCGAATTTTACATAAAAATTAATATGTAGGCTCGTGAAACCGGAAGGTGGTAGGAATCTTGAGACGTGACCAGCGAGAAACTCAACAGATGCTCTTTTTCAAAAACATTAATGAAATAAAGATGAATGTTTTCGATTCTATAAATCGACAATTTCAAGATATATTTGGATTCAAAATATCATTGTATTGGATCCGATATATCGATATTTTCAGCCGCTACATTTAGATCTTATATATCGATATATCCATATAAAATATTCAAAATCGAAAATCGTATCAAGAACGATATTTTTTAAAAATTCGAATGTGGCTCAGAGCCCATAGGGGTCAAGGAGAAACTACAAAATCTAAAGATTCTGACCGATTGTCCTAATCTGTCACTGAACTCCTAAACGGCTGGACTGATTTTAATGACATTTTTGTGAGCTCTTCAAGTGGATTCGAGAATGGTTTAGATTCGGTCCGCTGCAATTTCTTTTTAATTTTTTTTATTATAAGTTGTTGTCGGATTTAAGGCGTGTGTACAGGACAACGTCTGTCCGGTCCGCTGTCACTTTATATGTATGTAAAGATATACTCCTAGAAAGCCACGGACCCAATCACCACCCACCATAGTCTCCCGCTTCTTGTAGCCCTTGCCGCAGAGCGTGCACAGGTACGGCCTGGGTCCGTCGTGGGTCTTCTCGTGCTCCTCCAGGGCTGCAGCATCGCCGAGGCTCGCCAGGCAGAAGCGGCACTTGAGGGGGGGGCTCTCCCCGTCGTGGCACCTCCTGTGCACCTGCAGGGTCTCCAGGTGCAGGAACCGCTTGCCGCAGAAGTCGCAGGCGTGGGGCCTCTTCCGTCTGCGGCCCGGCTGACTCTCACCCTCGGCTCCAGGCTCCCTGGAAATTTATTTCTTTATTATATAAGCTTCACCAACATTGGACACATTGAGCGTGCAAAATAATTATAAAAGTAAAAAAAAAAACCCACGTGCTCCAAATTAGGTGGTACCTCGCTGGTTTTTAGGCTTCCGTACCCAAAGGCTGAAACGGGGACCCTATTACTAAGACTCCGCTGTCTGTATGTCTGTCCGTCTGTCACCAGGCTGTATCTCATGATCACGGTTCGTTCCGTTAGACAGCTGAAATTTTCACAGATGGTGTATTTCTGTTGCCGCACAACAAATACTAAAAAGCGAAATAATAAAATATTTAAGTGGGGCTCCCGTAGAACAGACATGGCAGCATTTTTTGCCGTTTTTGCCGTTTGGTTTTTTAGGGAAGGTGGCGAGAGAGATGGCGGTTAACCCTATGTTAGGTGATCACTCCACTACCATCACTCCACTTCCTCTTCACGCCAGTCTTCTGTGGGTTGGTGTTACTTCCCGGGACGGACCTGACCCTTCGTGCATAAGTAAAGGTTGTTGCGCGGCCCTACCACATATTGAATTTTTGCCACCTTCGTACCTTTCCGACTTTTAACCGACTTCAAAAAAGGAGGTATATATCCGGTCGAATTGAGAAAATTCGACCGGATATATATTTTTTATATGTGTGTTCAGGGATAACTTCGTTATTCATGCACCGATTTTGATGATTATTTTTTGTTGGAAACGAGATATCGGGTGGTACCATGATAAGGAAACCCAGATCTGATGATGGCATCCCAGAAAAATCGAGGACAACCCTCAAATGTTATAGGAGTTGACAATGTTGTTTTACTTTCCTGTTTGACGTCGGTTTTTTTTTTGTTCAAAATTATTATTCTAGCAGGTTGCTGTGACGGATGGACAGACAGACAAACAGGAGTTTTAGTAATAGGGTCCCGTTTGACCCTTTGGGTACGGAACCTTAAAAAAGAAGAGAACTCACTCTTTGGGGCGTTTCTTTCTTTTCTTGACTTCTTCGCCCTCTGTCTCCGTCTTAATCTCTTGCTTGACTTTTTGTGAGGCGTCATCTGAAAGCGAAATTAGGATTAGGCGTCGAGGAACACCAAATAGAGATGTAAAAAAATAATCGATTTTATTAATAAACCGATTATATCAATTTCTGTCGATTTTTGTAAACGTATATAATTTGTAAACCAGTTTCGTAACTTTTCAACAGATTTGATTCTAATGAAATGTTATATGGTATTGAATATTTGTGGCGAAATTATGTTAGTATTTTAGTTATGAAACCAAAAGGTTGTTGTTTATTTTTTATATTACTGATTCAATTTGATTTTGACTCTGATTAACTGTTAACACCATAATAATCTAATTTTTTTTTGTTTTAGCCGCTCCATTACACATTGACCAGTTTCGTCGCGTTCACATGAATTACAGCAGGAAGCTAAATTACAGCGGTAATTGATTTACACGCCCGCACCGGTCATCACAGGACACAACTGCCACCACCCCGAGGGTGAGGGCGTCTACCCACCCCAGCTGCCGTTGTGCGTGAGCGCGTGTCGGTGCATCTTGCTGGAGGTGATGAACCCTCGCCCGCAGACGTGGCACTTGAAGGGCCTCTCGCCGGTGTGCGTGCGCATGTGCACGCGCAGGTAGGACGGCGAGCTCATGCTCTTCTGGCACACGTGGCAGCTGACGGGCGCCTCCGCGCGCGGGCGCTTCGCCCTCGGCGGGGGCTCCGGCTCCGCGGGCTTGGGCGACGCCGCCCACGTGTCCGACGGGAAGTAGTCCTCGTCGGAGAAGCTGGAAGAGGAGCTGGATGAGTGGAGGTTGCGTCTTCTAGAATAGAAGGAGACGGGAGACGGGAGACGGGCGAGCTGTCCACTCGATCTTCGACAGAAGAGAAATCGAGGGCAATCCTCAAATGTTATAGGTTGTAACAATGTTTTTTTAGTCTCCGGTTTGATATCGAGTTTTTTTTTGTTAGAAATTATTGCTCGTTTTAAAAAGATGGCAAGCCCGTAGATTCGCAGATGATTTGCCACCTTTTAATAAAGTCGGCCCCGGCCACCTCACTCCTGTGAGCTCGTGGTACCAACCCGGACGTACCTGCCCATTCGTGCAACAGCCAACTGTAACGTGTACTTCAGTTCAATAGGCGGCAGTTATCACATGACATCAGGTGAGCCGCCAGATCTTGAAATGAATTGAATGACCTTGACTCATGAAAAAACTCTCACGAAACAGCCTCCATGGCCACGCAGCCAACATCAACCCTTTTTTTTGGTATCGGAGGGAAATCTTCGAAAGATACCCTATCATGTAAGGTGACAGGGTCATGTGGGGTTCTCACCCGACTAAAACCCCCTCGGTGGCCGCCTTCCGTACATTTGGGGGGGCTCCGGGATCTCGCATGGAGCGCACCCGGTGTGGTCCCTCTGTACTACGCCTGAACACGCCTCGGAGAAGGATAGACCTTCCCCGATTCCCTCGCCATCTTGCAGCAGCACGAGACCACTTCGTGCTGCTGCCCATCCGTCTCCCCTTTTAGTCGCTATTTATCACAGGCAGGGGATAGGATACCTTAGACCTATTCTATGGGCCTGGGACTACAGGGCTGAGCCAACATCCCTAGTATCCGATGAGGGAATATCACCCCAACCCCACCAGCATCACTACCTTGGTCTGACCCTACCTTTCTTCCTTAACGCTGTCCGCGCCTTCAGCTCCATCCTCCTCCAGCTCCTCCTTCTTCACCTCGAACTCCACCTCGAACTGAGGGTTCGGCGCGTCCACGAGGATCTCCACGCTCTCGGGCGCTCCGCCGGCGTCCAGGGGCTTCGCCACGATCACCGGCTCGCCGTCCACCCGGCAGGGCTCCGCCACGTAGCTCACCGGCGGCTGCTCCGCGGGCCAGTCGTCCCACAGGTTGGACCCTGGCGCGGGTTCGGGCTCCGCCGGCGGCTCGGGCTTCGCCAGCTGCCCCTCCAGCTCCTTAAGGTACGGCAGGATCGCGTTGTAATCTGATCGCGGTCGAAATTGGCACAGTTGTGGTCAGTCCGCCATTACAGCGCCGCGACGTTAAAGCGGCACGCGACGCGCAGTCTTATTTATTTAAAAAGTAAATCAAAATCACAGCCTGTAAATGTCCCACTGCTGGGCAAACGCCGCTGTACAGAGGGTATCAGTCCATATTCCACCACGCGGCCCCACTGCGGATCGGCGGACTTCACATATCTTCTTTCTTTGGTTTTTGTTATGAGTTTTAAAATATGCAGGTAACAATTTCATCGGCACCAGGGATTGAACTCAGGTTGCTTGAATGTATTGAATAAAAAAATGAAAATGAGCTATCACGGCTCTGACATATGGTATATAAAGAATAAAATATTTCTGGCAACCAGTATGCATTGAATCTAGAACGTAATGAGCCCTAAATGAAAAATGTAAAATAGTAAATTGTTTAAATGAGAAAACTTTATATATTCTACAATTCTTAAATTTTCTTAAATTCCATTTTAGCTTACATACTTAAAAACTATAAAACAGAGGTTCTATTGTATATATTATAATGACATTCATAACATACCATATGGCTCCCCTTCCAATTTATCTTCCGGATGCTTCTTATCAAAGTGCCTGGTCAAATATTCAAACCTGGGGACAGAACCGAAAAAATAGTTATTATCCCTGATAAAATACCAGTACCATTTATTATTTGTGGAGGCCTACGTCCAGCAATGGGTAAAATGCTGACGATCATGATTTAAAATAACAGCATGATAATATCTCAATGGATGATTCAATATCCCTAATAAAAGCCTCTTTCACTTCTTTATGTACTTATTTTATTTTATAACAAACTATGTACTTATCTTATAAAATTAGTAAAATTTTTTCCACATCCCTAAAATACTCTTTACATATTATATCCACCCGAAGGTTGCCTGGAAGAAACAAGGCAAGAAGTAATAAGGCCCCCTTGTACAATCCTTACATAATTGTTATTTTTAATGTATTCTTTTTTACCCAGATCCGGAACAATTATTTGTGAGTCTCACAAACACTTGCCCCGTGTGGGTATCGAACCCACGACCCCAAAGCCATTAGCTTAGCAACTGAGATACCGAGTCATTGAATAAAAACAAAATATCATTTATCAACTGTAACAATTCCAAATTATTCAAGTATCCAAATGTACTATACAAGTGTCAATAAACTTTCTAACACTCATTAACGCTAATTAATGCTTCATTATAGCGTTAATTGCCCTATTTTCTCATGGAAACAAATTTCAGTGTAATGCTAGTCATCAATTATTTTATTTAATATTTTTTAAACTTTTCCCTGAATGTGGAATAATATTATCCTCTGTTGTTATAACTATGTTTTACAGACACAAGGACAATCAACACTCAGATTCAGAACAATTTTTATGACAATTTTAAAAAGAAAAAAAAAATGTGCCATATCTATAGTTAAACTGCCAATTAACGCCATATTATACACAGAATTTTAAGGAAAATAAAGGTATGGTTAATATTTTAGAATATGTCTGCATCAGGATCGCACCCTTGCAAAGGTGATTACAAAAATTTTTATTTAATTCATGTATTTATTAAGGAAGAGTGCCTCATTCATGCAACTGTTTCATTGTTCTAAACTAGTGTCTCCCCCTTACAACTTACCTGGAGAAATACTTATAACAGATCCTGCACTGGTGTCTGATGGCCAGGTGTATCCGTTTGTTGTGCCTGCCCAGCTTGCTAGCGGTGATGAAGCACTGACCACACTCGGCACATGTGTATGGTTTTTCATCTAAAACAGTATTAATTTCATCAAGATTTGTTCATCTATATTAGATAATATTATTCTTTCATTAGAATTTCGATTCCGCATGTTAATTCAGATGTTTTAAAAACAATGACCCAATAAAATGTATGAAAAGGATTGATGATAACATACATTTTTGCTACTTTTAAAGAACACAATGTTATGATAAAAAAACATGTTTGAAAATTCAATTTTAGACTATGTATAGCCCTGTTTGGAACTTTAGAACAAATGTTTTGTTGAATCTAAGAGATTAAAAAGGCTATTGATTCTAAGAACCCTACGGACAGTTAAAGCTATTAACACTATACTCGGACTCGCGCACGAAGGGTTTCCGTACCATTATCTATGAAAACGGCAAAAAAAAACATGTCTGTCATTTTTTTTATTCCGTTTTTTAGTATTTGTTGTTATAGCGGCAACTGAAATAAATCATCTGTGAAAATCTGAACAGTTAACATCTTGGGCTGATGATGATGATTTATTTTGTGTGGAATGGGTTGTGTAGAAGTCTCAACAACCACTACAAAAGATCTATTTAAGTCTTCCCTTCGAAAATATTGCCACTTACTGTAGTAACTAGTATTATCCTGTGTTGTCAGGATATTTTACAGACATAAATTTCATGTGGACAAACACGCAGATCCGAAACAATTACCTGTGGTTCAGACAAATTGTCTCGTATGGGAATCAAACTCCCAACCCTGGCGCAGAGGACAATACCTTGGCAACTGCACCATAATGATGATGATGACGGTTCAGGTATCATGTGACATATCAAACTTACTATAAATAAATACACCATACATACCATGGGAATATTAAAGATCTATTTCATACCTGTATGAGACCTGACATGCAATTTCAGGTAATAGCTCAACGTAAACTGCTTCTGACAAGCGAAACACTTGAACATCTTCTCCAGGTTGTAATCTCCAGGTTGTAAAGTTTTGTCTTTCGACTTTCCTATGTTCTCATTTTCTTTGCATTCAGACTGATTTTTTTTACCGAACTGGTTTACATCTGCTATGCTCTTATCTTTGGATTCCGCAACGGGATATTGGTAGTAATTGCATGTGTCCACTTCAGGTTTACAGTCTTCTACCTTTGTGTCCCCTATGTATCCATCTTCAGGTTTGATCTCAATCTCTATTTTAACCTGTTTCTCCTTCTTTACTTTCATTAACTTTTTCAACTTCTTCTGTTCTTTGCGCAGCTTTTTCCTCTTTATTTGATTCTTTATTCGGAGCCCATAGCTAGTTATTCTCTCCTTGTGGGTGGCGATATGACGGTCCAAGTCGCCTAATAGCTTGAAACTAATGTTGCACACTGCGCATCCATAAAAAGGGAAATCGCTGTCAGCTATTTTCTCCGACATATAATTGCTTCTTTGACCATTCTTGCATTCCTTCTTAATTTTTTTACTAGCGACTGGTGGACTGTTTACATTTAAATTTTCTGCGGTATTCTCTTTCACATCATTAGGATACTCATTAAGTTGGCTTATACTAAAATTACTTGTGTTGTCTGCTACATTGGCTTTAGTTTCGGTACTGTTACTGCTTAATTCATTATTGTGACCATTGTCGCAGTCCCTAGGAAATAAATATGGTTCGGTTTTGATATGATAGTTGTAGTATGGCTCATTGGCCGTTTGGTATGGTCCCAGATTGCTGTTTGGTGGTGGTGGAGCACAATTGCCATAGGTCTGATATTCATAGTTTGCCAATGGGTCTACTTCAAAGGCCGAATTCGGGTTCATCTTGATTTCAAATCTGTAATGAAACAGAACAATACATTTAATTACACTTAAACATAATAAATGACAAAGAAACCACAGTAAATTCTACACTGAACCTTCTACCGTCGGTTTCGCATAACGCAATTAACTTGACGCATTATTTTATTTCCATATCGCGTGTTGACAGTCGATTTTACGAAACAAAGTCTTACTAAATGTAATGATAATAACGTAATATTATTTCGTAAGTTTAGACTATCATTCGTTTTTATGACCCTTAAACGTAAGGGCGACAGGCGCAAAGTCGTAGAGAGCGTCCTCCATCACTAATCAATAAGACGAACGTAAAAAAATATACCTGAATGACACCGAAGCACGGCAATGAAAAAAAAAGATCAAAACTTCGTCAACACCAACAAATACGAGCAGAGATGTCTCATTTCCACGACGGGAACGTCATAAATCCTGCCACATCATAATATTTAAAAACTTTGTTTTATCTACTATTCGCACAACTCACAATATAACTTTATTTTCTATGAAAAATAACGTTGAATTCAATGGGAAATACTCACTTTTTTCTCGCGTGACTGACCTGCCATGGTAGGCATGAGCAAAAAATATCGATATTTTTCCAAATAAATACCGATATTTTTATTCTCGATATTCGATATTTATTTTCGACTATTGAATTCGTGTCAATCTCGATATATTTTTTTACGCAACACTGGTTTTGTGTATAGTGTTACTAAAATGCGTGCACAATAACACTTTTGTTTTACTATAGATTTTTTAATTATAGCCTGGTAACAAGATCTTCACGAAAATACTAATTACTAATACTATTAAACCATCAGTGTGAGACGTATATGATCCTGAAGTTACCAAACAGTTAACAATTTTCGGTTCATTTTTTTCACCAAATCAACAAAGTTATAAACAAAAGAGAAAGAAATTGCACATGTAGAAATTTAAAAACTCTAAGTACAATTTTTCATATAAATTATCGATGGAAAAAGTTTAAAATATTATTAGACGTCAGTTAACTTCAGTATCATGAGAAGTTGATTAACTCGTAAAATTCTTCAACTTCAAAAATTGAATACGTGATACTTATGTCAGTTTGCTCGATTTTATTCAACGTTGTGACGTTCAATGATTCCAAATAGTCTGACTGATTAATATTTTTCAATTTTATGCAATGACCCTATTAAACACCTTAAAAGAAGTGAAATTCAATAAACATCTGAAAAGGGCTGTGAATCTGACAGTACCCAACAATAGAAGCCGTTTGACAGGGGAACACATTAAACAGAGGGTGCTCCTGATGGCTATATCAGATGATTATTGGTTCCAATAAATTTCTTACAAATTACTTTTTCTTTTTAAAATTTTAATTACTTTTTTCTTAATAAATTACTTTCTTCTTCATGTCTATTCCTTTCCACGAATTTTGAATGGTTTGGAAACATAAATAATAAAAAAACCCTTAAAAATGTATCGAACTATCGATATTCTTCACTCGATATTCAATCGATACGATAAATATCGATATATTTTTTTTACTTGCCCATCCCTATGCCATCGCCGTCATTGTCATAGTTGCCATTACCATAAATACATCTTACCATTTCAAATCATTTTATCTTGACAGTTGAAACAAAGACACTATTTTCATTAAAAAAGAAACTCACAGTTCTGTTTCTTTTTATTATCTTGTTTTACTACTTGCTGCAGCACATCTTTTACAATGGATCAATTTTGTGTAAGATTCCCTAAGGTTCAATAGGAGTCCCTAAGATATTGTGAAATTTATTTAGTGTGCAATATTTGTGATATGTCATAAATGGCACGATATTATGTAAAAGTCTACAAACGCATATTTTCAATTTCATAATGTTTATTAAACAAAAATAATTCAATTTCTTTCTCTATCTAACTATTGAATTAAATTTTTTAAAATTAAGTTATGGATATATCGCAACTCAATTTCAATATCATTATGAGAAGTATAATAGTGGAATTAATAAATAAATAAGAAAATTTTATAACGGAACATAAATTAATTTCGTCTTAAGATAATCATGAATTGGTAAAAATAGTAGGTAGTTTAGCAGATAACTATTGATTGAAATTGAGATTAAATCAGCCTAAAATAAGCTTTATCTTTACGAACGTAAAGAACCCTATTACCAAAAAAAGTAATTCAAAATAAATATTATTGTTTAACCTTATTACGCAATTATTTATCTACCTAATTGTACTAGAAATAAAGAATAAATTTATCTCAAGGAATTATTTGGTATAAAATGCCAGTCGAGCGACAACATTATGAAATACCGCCACCGTCTGGCGAGGCGGCGCTAGGTCCGCGTACTCGCGACGCGAGCGATAATGACAATACCCACGGGGTATAATGTTCGAACAAAAATTTTCAGACACAAAGTTTTATTTATTATCTGTATCAGAAAATGATGTATGACATTTCTATCCCCCGCACGCTTCACCTTCATCCCCTCCTACATACACATTTCGAAGCTTTGACATATACGGACGGCTGCCATTACTGTTTATGCTGTTGATAGTCGTGGTTACGTTGATTAAATTCCGTTCACTTCCAATCCACATAATCAGTGATATAAGTAATACCTTTTGTTCTTAGCGTTTTCGCGAGTGTCGAAATGTATTACTCCAAGTGTTGTGTACCGGGATGCAATAGTTTACGACAGGACGTTATGTTGCATAAATTCCCGAATTGTGGGAAAAGACTCCAAAAGTGGTTAGAAAAAATAAGTCCTCTTAGAGCTTTGAGCTTAGTAGATCTAAGCAAACTGCTCGTTTGCCATAAGCACTTCGAAGGAAGATTTTTAACCAAGACCGGCCGTTTACTAGGTTGTGCTTATCCTACTCTTTTCTCCTATGATGAAATATCTAGTGGCATACCAGCAGAATCAATTGAAGCATCTGGTAGGATTTATTTAATATTGATATTTTTAGATACTTTGTCGAAATATTATTTAGTTTTCATAGATAAAGCATAATTACTAATAAAAATATTTTTTCAGAAAACTATAATCCTAATATGGACCATAATTACTCCATGAAAAGACATTATGATCACTCGTATGCACGTACCCTACTGTCAGATCCAACCAAAGCACATAAATCAACAGGTATAATTTATTGTCTATCCTTATCTTTTAGCAGGCCAATAATGTTAAATAGAAATTTTGATATAAGTAATAATTTTAATTTTAAAATCATATGTTAAACTTTATTACAGATCCAATACCATCAACTTCTCAAGTGACAGAGCCTGTGATTGACCCGGTTGTTGAGCAAGAGAAATTGGCATCATTAGAATCTTCTGATGGTAATGCGCAGCAGTACAGAACAATTTTTAAAAAAATTGGTTTACAAACCAAAAGAGCTTGGAAGCGGATAGTTCCAAAAATAAAGTCACTGAGCCCTAATTGTCAAAGACTCTACAAGGAATATAGAAAATCTCGAAAAATTGTGAGTTGCCATAGCAGAGCTAAAAAAGCTTTAAAATTTTCAGAAGAAAATTCTTTTGAAAAATTAACTTCCAAGATGAATCCAATGGCAAGAAAAATTATGTGGATGCAAGTTAAATTGCAAACTACAGAGAAAAAAGGGAGACGCTTCACCCTGGAAGATAAATTATTGGCATTAGCAATTATGAAGCAAGGGCCAAGGTGTTACAAATTTCTGCAGCGTATATTTATATTGCCATCAGCAACAACATTAAAGAAGCTTGTCAAAAAATTAAATGTCCAACCAGGCCTCAATCCTCAGATTTTTGAATGCATTAAGAATGAGGTAATTGTTAAATATTGCTTGTACACTGATTTGTGAAAAACAGATTTGTCCTATCCTTATAATTACTAATATACTGATGCTTTTCAGGTATTTTCTTGGCCTGACAATAAAAAATACTGCAGCATCATTTTTGATGAAATGTCTCTAGAGTGTGGATTGACATTCAATTCATATCAAGACAAAATTAATGGATTTGTTCACCTCACAAATCGAGCTCCAGAGTTTGCTGATCACGCATTATGTATCATAATTAAAGGTGCAGTGTACAAATGGCAACAAGTAATAGCCTATTACTTTTGTGAAGGTGCAACAAAGGGATCGGAGTTAAAAAATATATTGATATCAATTATAAAAGCTGTAGGCGAAACGGGGCTTATTCCAGTGGCAATTGTTTCTGACCAAGGAACTTCTTTCCAGTCAGCACTGAAGAGCTTACAGCAAGATACAAGAAGAGAACAAATCCTATCTGAGGATCACATTGGTATTTTTCTTTAAAATATAGAATGGTGTCTCTTTACTAGATACATACATATAACATAAATCAGTAATTTGCATTAACTCTTCTTGTTCCAGATGAGACAATAGGAATTGGTCACTTTACTTTAAGTGTAATATATGACCCACCGCATCTTATAAAGGGACTAAGAAATAATTTTCTAACGAAAAATATTTCTTTTAGTGGAAAAAGGGCCAAATGGTCTGACATAGTTGAAGTCTATAAAACAGATTGTCAACATGCAGAATCAAGACTTCTCCACAAACTTAGTGATGAGCACATACTTCCAGAAAAGATAAAAAAAATGAAGGTTTGTCAAATAATATTGTTTTTAAGCACCCAATAACACTAATTATTTCACATAGTTTTAGGATTTTTAACATATACATATTTTAAAAATACCTTTAAAATGTAATGCCGAATGTTTAAACAGTAATAAATAAAAGTATGCATGCTTAAAGTTGACAATTCCGCTGTATTTTCAAACACAAATATTTTTATTCAATTAATGAATAAAATAAATTAATGTAGTTTTGTCATTGTAGGTAAAAAATTGTGTTCAAGTTTTAAGCAGCACAATGTTGTACACCTCATCATTTGGTAAGTACTACAATAATTTAAAAGTTTTAAATGAAAATCAATGTTTTTTATTTAACTTTATGCATAGCCCTCACAGAGTAGACAGAGGATTAGATAATTTAGTCCCCATATTCGCACTGGAAATATTTCGAGAAAAAATGGCAAGTGGTGAGCTTGTCATAGTCTTAGTGTTCAAGCCAACAATATAAACTGTTCATAAGTTTCCAAAAAAACTCATCCTAGGGATAAGATGAGTTTTTTGGAAAGGACATGGACATATGTAAGGAGTAAATTAGGGGTGTGGGTAAAATTTTACTAATTTTATAAGATGAATATATACTTTGTTTCAAAATAAATAAGTACATAAATACCAAAAATAAATATAAATATATATACGTATACACATATATATATATGTATACACACAGTTTGTATATTATACAATATACATACATACATACCATATCATATCATATACATAATATACACTATATCAGAGAGACACCTAAATACAAATCATTATGCACATCTGAACCAGATTTAAAGTGACAAATAGTGACTCCTGACAAGGTTTTTAAAAGCGGGAAGTGACTGAGCATGTCTCACCTCACTGTTGATATCAGAAGATGCGGATGGGATTCGTGTAAAAACTCGAAACATTTCTTTAAATAAAGGGGATACGAAGGATTAAACAGAATTTTGTAAAGAAGGGAGAGTATATGTATAGAGTATACTTGACCTTAGTACGGAAATGTGAGACATTATCATATTTATTTAAGCCAAATATGAATTATTCAAATTGACCCAAAAACTTGGCTTAGCATGATATTAATTGAATAGATATTATTAAGGATAGATTTATTATTTTGTTTTGTCTCAAGGATTAGCTCAATTACTTCATTGTTTCTAATATTTATTCCTTGTTTCAGCACAATATTGTGATGGGAATCCTGTGAGTGGTACACTAAAACATACTGCAGAAGTAGTCATATTTCTGGACAACTTATTTGATAGTGTGAATGGTGTTTGCACTTACAATAAAAAAAGTAAGGGTAAATTACTACGAACAGCTGTTACAACAAAATCCAACCATTTGGAATTTTGGAGAGATGCAATTTTAAAGTTACAAAATTTTAAGTTTATCGATGGTCAAAATCATGAAGTAGTTGTGCCAAGCATTAAAAATTGGCTAACTACTTTAGGAAGCTTTCTGAGGCTGTGGCAATTTTTTAAAGGAAAAAACATAAATATTATGCGCCCAAGGTACTTTAACTCAGACACAATCGAAAATTTCTTTGGTCAGGTCCGAGCTTACAATTACAGGAGTAATAACCCAGATTGCCACAGCTTCACAAATACAATTAAATCTTTACTAATAACAGGATTTATAAAATTTCACAGTCATACTTTTAATTGTGAAGATGATTTGACTAATCAAATAATTAAAACTAAATCATTATTTAATGAAAATTTTACTCAAGTCAGTCAAAATGAAACTTGTGATTTTCTTGTGGACGAGATTTTGTGTTAGAAGCAAGGCGTGAACGGCTAAATATACACTCCAGGGCATATACTGCAGGTTGGGTTGTAAGAAAAATGTTAAAGATTGTTAGTAATTGTAAATTCTGTAAAAATGAATTTACAGTGGACCAACCTGTAGATCTGCATAAGTGGGTTTCCCAAAGAGAATATAATGTAGTAAAAAACAGGAAACTCACTTATGCCTCTGAGAAAGTCATTTTATTATTTGGAGAAATTTTAAGATTTACTAATAATTTCCTAAATTCAAATGCCCATAAGGAGTGTATAGGCAAAAATATATTAAATGAAATTTTATGTAATGACATAGCAAAGAAATTTGACTCTGTCCAGTGTGAGAACCATAAAAATTTTGCTGTTCATTCTTTTTGCCAAATATCAATAAAATTGGCGATATTTAACTGGTGCAATACAATAAATAAAATTTTAAAAGGAACAGATGTATTCAGACTATCCACAAGAAAAAATATACCAGCAATGTTTAAGAAGGCGTTAAGCAAATACAACAAAAAATTGAAAAAGAAAAATAAATAAATATTTGTATATATACGATTTTTTTTTTCCCTGTATTTAGTACTCCTAAAAAAATAGAAATATCGCAAAGGGCGATGAAAAATTTAGGCTGTATCTAAATTTCCTTTGCTTTTGTTTAACCGAAGATGAAGTAATATAAATGTCACATATCATTTTCAGTTGACCAATCACAAAACAGCTCTTATGTCCTACTGTCGTTGTATGGCACATGCCTATCTGATGCGTTAGCATCTCTACCATATCTGTGACAATACCTATCGGGTCCCGAACGGGCCTCTTCCGTACATACCCGGTCTGCGTACTGGTACGTTCATACTGGGTATTTATACCTGTTCCATATATACGCCTCATCTCTACTCTCCGTGCTAGAAGTCCTCAGTCATCACAAGTTAACAACAGCGACTGTGTCATTAGGTCGGATACAGGATGTGGTGGATCCGTGTAAGACCCATTTCATTACAGCAAGTTATAGGTCATTATTACCCACCCGGGCGAGAGTATTGCAGACAAAATAAAGCTATAGCCAAGTAAAACTTTTTTCTAAAATTTTTAGAATGCTAGTTCCGACCGGAAGCATAATCATATAAAGTGTGCAATTCAAATACGGTAGAAATGAAACTTCAGAAAAGTAGTAAAAGGTGTTTATCTATATTTTTATCACATTAATATTTGCTGTTTTAGGCAATGTGCTATATATTTTTTATGTTAAAAGTTGCCAAGCGAGCAGGCGGTTCACATGTTGTTAAGTGAATACCGCCCGTGGACATCTGCTACATCTGAGGGTTTGTAGATGCGTTTACAACCTTGTAAAATCTGGGCCCCGTGTCTCACGAGACGAAATGCGAAAGTATTATACTTCCAATTCACGACGGTCGTCGGTGAGGTCGTTGTACTTCCTCGGACCGACCTGCCTATTCGTGCAACAGTGGAGTCTGTTGCGTGGCCCCAGCACAGTTAAAATATAGATAAACAACGAAGCTTATTCTGTCGCTTTCGCTCGGCAACATACAAGCGTCCACACATGTACAATGCTTATTTGACGAGAGCGGGGAGGCTACGAATCGTGACACAGAATTTAGAATTTGAAATAATTTGTGATGTTTCGTATTCTATCTCATTCTCTCACCGCCCTATTTTTTGTAGGTCTGAGAAGTATTTTTTTTTATTGGTCATAGATGTAAATATGTGTTTGTCCCTTTCTCGTGCCGCATTTTCGTTTCATCGAGATTTAAATCGCAACGATTCAAAAGAAGTATCACTTTCAAACGAATTATCTAATCGAGTAAATAGAATTGTCGAGTTGGGCGTTGCATTTACCGGCAATTTAACAACATTCCATTTTGATTGCTCTGTAAAATATCTTCACTATTAATTATCAATAATTTCTTATCAGTCCGTAAAAGTGACTTTGTGAAAAGAGACAGAAATATGTAACGGGAAGCGAGTTATTTCACCAATGAGCGCGTATTATACTGGAGTTGGTTGTCAGATGGTACCAACCGGGTACTAGTCCTACTGGTACATTTTCCGAGAGGTTAGCACTGGCAGCAATCAATTGCATCAGAAACTTTTATAAATAACTGATCGGTTGGAAGCTTAGCTTACAGTATTGTGTATTTTAAAGTATACTATTAAATACTGATCCGGTATAAACTAATTCATATTAAAAAAAAAACAATTTAAATAATTGCACGGATAGGTTTATGTGAGATGGTGGCAAGTGAGCTGGCGGTTCACCTGATGTTAAGTGATAACCCCCGCCCATGGACATTTACAACATTTTGATGAGATACGTTGCCACCTTTCAATAAAGTGGGCCCCGGTTACCTCACTCACCAAAAGAAACAGAAGTCCTTCACGCCCGTCTTCGGTGAGGTCGTGGTACTTACCAGGACGGACCCATTCGTGGAACAGCCAAAGCTGCTGCGTGGCTATACCTAGTAATTTCTTCGATAATAATAATTTTTTTAAGTTTCTATAATTCTAATTTAACGCTAATAATTTCGTAAGTTGCATATTCAAGTAATGTAAGGCTCGCTCGCTTTAATTATAGAAATAATTTTAATAATAAAAAATCACTTAATAAAAATTCACCCAATAATCTAATAAAAAGACTATTGAATTTCTTTTTTGCAATTTTGTTCAATAAACGATATTAAAATTTTCATATTAGCATCTACCGGATAAATTAAGAGAGCATATTTGCATTTATATAACTAGTAAAACTTGTTTTTGAGTGAAGTCTTAGCGGTTTTAAGTTGTAGTTTTATGCAATAAAAACTAAATTCCCATGCACATGTAAAATTATTTTCTATTTTTATATCAGTTGATTAGGTACCTCGTAGTGCTGTGACCGATTAACTGTTAAAATGGTTCGATTAACTTAAAATGTTTATTTATTACTAGCTGTGCCCGCGACTTCGTCGGCTTGGAATTTGAAATAAAAAAAATTCTAGAACTAAAGTACTTCAAGTATTACATCAGCTATTTGTCAGTGAAAGTCCCGTCCAAATCGTCCTAAATAGTATAAATCTAAATAATATAAATCCTAAATAATATAAATCGACAAAAATAGTAAAAAAATGTTATTTTGGTATATGTACCGTGTAAACATCTATATGCATTTAGTAAAAAATGGGTTATTATAATATTACAAACAGACACTCCAATTTTATTTATCTGCGTAGATGGAATAATACACCACAAAAAACAAATCACATCTACAAATTTTTATATTATTGAATATAAAATAAATAATGTGTCCGCAATGTTTTTTTTTTTTATTTTTTATTTATAAGTTGGTTGGTTTGTTAGTGCATCCGTTGGTACACCTTCATATGCAATGTAAATAATTATAGCCGGTAAGAATTTTTAAATTTCAAAAGTTATCAAATTAGGTGAGACATAACTTTGTGTTCTAATTATAATTGATCATTTTAAAATATAAAAAAAATGTATAAGTACATGTATATATAGAGAACGAACCTATATATTCGTTCAATTGCTATTACGCAGGTGAGTATTTCTTATTCGCTCTTATATTAATCTGCAAAGAATAATTGTAAGCTCACAAGTGTTATATTATAAACTAGAAAGATATGAAATAAAACTCGTAATACATACATAAAAGCTGTGTTTGCTTAAAAGAAAACGTCTAAGATAATATAGCGTGATGAACAAGCACTTCACGTCCCTATCTCTGTAATTCTGCATACTATATTTTAGTAGCGCGGGAAACCGCTCAGCGGTATGACGTGCCAGCTACACACACGTCAAACGTCAGTTTGAAAGTATAATTAATTGTTAAACTTTTAAGTTTTAACTTACAAGTTTTTTGATCTGACAAAAACAGAGTAAAGTGTGTTAGTCTTTTTATATTTATTTATCGTTACCGTGGTAGTTCTTAATGGTGTTGTGTGATGAAAACTATCATTATTCAGAACAATACACGACCGCGATCTATTCGTCCAAATTGATAATAACTGTTACATGGGTGATATCATAAAGGAGAGGACGTGTGGTAATTACGATTTTATTGTTGCTTTAACGTGTCTTTCACGAGCTGTAGGTAGTCCTTGTTCCGGTAACGCTACATTTAATTTCTGCGACACAAAAAACGTGCTTGTCAGTGAAAGAAAACATTGTGAGGAAACCTGAATATTTTCGAAATAATTATGAACGACTAACTAACTAACTCGAAATACATATTATTTCAAGTTAAGTCGGGGTCGAGTGGTGGACTATGCTCAGATGTGAGGAGGCCTTTGCCCAGCTGTGGGACACAGTACTTATAATTTAATAGAGATGTCGAAAAAAAATCGATATATCAATTATCCATTTATCGATTAAAAATCTAAAATCGAAATGTTTTTTCAAATTCGAATTCGGCACAGTGTTCGTAGTTTAAATAATTAACAAATATATTTTAATACTTGACCTATCTGTTTGTTTTTCTTTGGACAACGGGGTTTTTTTCGGACCTAAAGAGAAAATATAATCTTCGATATATCGAGACCGATTTTTATAAATATCGATACATCTAGATATTTTTTCACGTTCGACATCCCTATACTTTATTTTCTTATTTTTTAATTGATACTTACTTATTTATCTTCTTAATCACTTTAATTGATGATAGTTCTAGCGTTGAGACGTGGGTTCGATTCTCCGCAGTAAAAGCGTTAGTATCGAAAAGCTACAAACTATTGTTTCTATCTAGTGTGCGGGTATCGCCGTACCTATCCATACAGATAAATAAAATTGGAGAGTCTGTTTGGAATATTAAAATGACCGCTTTTTACTAAATGCATATGGATGTATACACGGTACATATTCCAAAATATTTTTTTTTACAATTTTTGTATCTCTGTTTGTTCCGGTTAATGTCTGAAACGGCTTGACCAATTAATAAGGAGTAACTTAGGCTACTTCACGCGATTTCACGCGGACGAAGTCGCGGGCACAGGTAGTATCTAATAAAATAAAACACTTGCGGTACCTAAGTCATATGCAACTGCTGTAGCTTTATTTGGAGCATAATTATTTGTGATAATGAGGGAAGTGAAATTAAAAGACTTAAATATGTTATGCTTTTGCCTTACCAAGCTTTATTAGAGAATGATTAAAATCGTAAAAGAAATTGTGGCATTCGAGATTAGGCTATATTAAACACGTTAGGTGGTCATATCCCAGTGATTGTAGCCTCGAACTAGGGGCTTTGGGGACTGTATTGGGTTCGAGTTTTAACGCCTCGCACCGATGTTTTTTCCGCTTTAGAGGTCGCTACAGGCTCTAATTCCAAAATACTGCAGCGCTGTAGTCATTAATGTGGGGCACATGGACGTCGAATGTCCATAAGATTTCTTATAAATTAACGATAATTGCTTATTACATACATTGTGTTATGTTATCAAATTAAAGAGTACTAGAAAGTACTTAATGTACAGAACTGTCTCGTACAAGTAAATGCAACTGTTTAATTTACACCAACAACGCACTGACGCTCATTTCTACAGCCATACCTTTAAGAAGTGAGTCTTTTTCCACCTCAAAGGCATGTACGCGTTAGTATTATATTGTAATTTGTGTGGAAGGGTACGGGTAGTAAGTCCCATCGACTACTGCGATCTATTGTATATGGGAAGACCCTATTTCAGGTGGAAAAATATCCAGATCGTAAACGATCATCTGATGGTCTCACAAAGAGTTGTCTCGTGTGGGAATCGGACCTACGACCCTCAGCTACGGAGCCAATTCCTTGGCAACTGCGCCACTGGGTCATCGAGGTGTTAGTACCACTGCCTCCTTTTCGATGTTATATTTTCCATACTATACATCCGACAGAGCATCCATCTCTCACAACGTCTCACGCTTAACGGCCCATTTGATACGATTGCGGTAGGGGACCAGAGTATTCCAGACGAGATTAAAAGTTGGACCCAATTGCCCTACTAGGCAGAAACGCAGTAACGCGCGTACCTATTGCGGCAATAGTTAGTAGGAACTGTGGTCGTTATCATCGGCCTGTTCGAGTCCACTTACGCCCGGCTTCTGACACACTGATCATATTAGTAATTAACTAATCAGCTGCCAAATGGCTTTCCAAATGTAATTTGAGTTTCCAAAAGGATGGTTAAACTCTGAATCGACCAGAACGATCTTCTTAATGATCAGAACTTTAAACGCCATTTGACAGCTGATTAGTTAATTTATACGATGATTAGTGTTTCAGAAACTAGGCGGTAGAATGCCACGAATCACGATCCTGAGTCACCTGCGTATATCAACTTACCGCACATTTGCACAGGTCGTCACTTGATCTTGCGGCCCGTTAAACAGTAAGTATTTCCAAAATTGAACTTATTTTATCGAATTTCTCCCAGCAATATATTGTTATAAAATTAATTATAATAAAACGGTAGTACATACTGAACCGAAATATTTTTTGTTCGGTTTTTGTTCTTTTCTTGTCTTGTTTTTACGTTGCATCAAAATTTGTATATGAAATCATTACTTTTTTTTAATTTTGTATTTTATTATTCAAATATTTATTATAAATAAAGTTTCGTAAATTATTATGTGCGGCCCGCCAAAAAAAAATTTAAAATTAAATTGGCCCATTGATTAAAAAGGTTGCTCACCCCTGATCTAGTGGGAGGTCGTCTTTACGCGCGGTTGCCATTACGACTCTTTCAGTCCAGAAGCTCACCTCCCCATCGGTTGTCGGTTCTTCAAACTATACGACTATAATAATAGGAATAATTGGAGGATTAATTTATCGCATTTTTTTACGGTGGTAGGGCCACGCAACAGTTTTCGCTGTTGCACGAATGGGCAGGCCCGTCCGGGTAAGTACCACGACCTAAAAGAAGACCGGCGTAAAGTGGAAGTATAATACTTTCGCATTTCGTCTGGTGAGTGAGGTAGCCGGGGCCCAATTTTTTCAAAAGGTCCATGGGCGGAGTTTTCACTTACCATCAGGTGAACCGTCCGCTCGTTTGGCAAGTTTTCACATTTAAAAAAAATCGGGCGAACTGAACCTACCATCTTCCATTAAAAAAACCGAGACTAATATTTCCTTTGGTTTAATGTCTGGAAGAAGTGAGAATTCTAACGGTCCGTTTCAATATTCTATCCAAAGATCTGGAGATAGAATATTGACGTAAGTATTATGGAGTTAACGATAAATAATTTTCGCTAGTAATCAAATCTATATGTAGATAGAATATTAAAATGGGTCGATATCCGCTCTGCACACCCTAGGCTGTAAACCTTGCGTTTGTCTTCCAGCAAAGTGAGAGCCCAACATATTGAAATGTGTGGAAAAAACCGTAGAAAAGCCCATCATAGTATATTTCCGACAGAGCAAAGGCCTCTGTACGTAGCGAATTGCAGGTTCCACGGGATCACTGCGTGTTGCAAACTTCATATACTATAATTCGAGATATCATTTCTATATGTCGTATGTTAGCAGGCACCCTCACGATATCGATTTGGCACTTGAAATTGACCAATTAATTGGTGTCTAAGATTGCAGTTAACGAATTGATCGGTGTCTAAAATAGCGTTTAACGAGTTGATTGGTGTCTAAAATAGCAGTTAACGAGTTAATTGGTGTCTGAAATTGCAGTTAACAAATTCATTCGTGCCCGCGCTGCTATATGATGAGGAACTTCAAAACTCTCTTATTGTACTGAACCGTGCAGGCCTTCCATGTTCAGAGACAATTGAACCCGATCGATTTGAAAACCACGTCTCCTTTGACAGGTAATGGAAACCGACTGACCTCGACAAGATGGCGGCTTCCGGTCGTGTGACGCTCGCACAAGATGGCGCCCAGGGAAATGTCAAAGTCCACCCGTATCTGGCGGCGCTCGTGTAAGTACAGAATTTCCTATCAAGCTTACAGAGTCAGGGTCCCCTATGGAAATCTGGCTGTCAGATGTAATGCCCGCAAAGTGGTGTCACAAGTGACCAGTACGTGGTGTTCACTCCCATACTTCTGCCAAGGGATAACTAACAACTGGTGGCACTAAATACATCCTAGGATATACTATGTGATTATCGTTTAATTCTGAAAAACTGATCATCGTAGAGTTTAAGTACTAATCCCACTTAAATATTTTTTTATTCTGTATTTTAGTATTTTTCCTGTTATAGCGGCATCAGGAATATATCATCTGTTAAAATTTCATGAATTTCAACTGTGAAAAGGTTCATGAGATGGCTGGTGACAGACAGACAGACAGCGAAGTCTTAGTAATAGGGTTCCGTGTCTGCCCTTTGGTTACGGAACCCTAAAAATCCCTTAGAGGTATAATTCCAAAAGGAAGTAAAGTCGGCGTCTCGTTTGGAGGCATTGAGAAACTCGACCTGGAATCGAGTTGTCACTATACGTGTATTAATTATTCGTGGGTTGTGCAACAGTTCCATTATCACAATCGAATCACAATCGATTCGACCCCCCGACCTTTCGAGGCTAGTACACAAGGGACATTTTACTTAAATATAGACACACGTAGCATATTTACATTACAAGCTCGCGCGTCACACGTATGCTACGTTGAATATGTTCAACAGATGACTCGATGGCGCCGTTTCAAAGCTATTGGCTTCGGCGTCGGGGGTCGTGGGTTCGATTCCCACACGGGACAGATATTTGTGTGGCCCACAGATAATTATAATAATAACTAGCGAACCGGACGGACGTTGTACTGTACACACGGTTTAAATCCGACAACTTATAAAATGCCAAAATTAAAAAAAAAGTATTGGACCGAATTGTGAATCTAAATCAAACTCGAATCTACCTGAGGACACACAAAAAATTTCATTAAAATCGGTCCAGCCGTTTAGGAGGAGTCCAATGACATACACACGTACAGAAGAATCCTTACTAATATTATAAAGGCGAAAGTTTGTATGTATGGATCGATACTTACCTCACTTACCAGACGAAACGCAGAAGTATAACACATCTACTTCAAGCCGGTCTACTGTGAGGTCGTTGTACTTACCCGGCCGGACCTGCCCATTCGTGCAACAGCTGAGACTGCTGCGTGGCCCTGCCACCTAATTGGCATGCATCAAATTTAAATGTTTACGAATTTGTAATTTAAATATTTAATTAAGATTTGTTCGAAGCCCTCCATCGATCTTATAAGAAAGAAAGTGGGAAAAATTACAAAACTATAAGTTTAAGTAACCATCACAAAGTAAACTGAAATAATAGCTAAGAACCATCTCGATTACGTCAGCTTCAAACACAAAAAATCGCACCAGACACACGGAGGCAGACACGTCAAACTTAAAACACCCCTCCTTTGATTTGTATACTTGTCAAGTTGTCAAGTACACAATCTAAGTGACCCTCTTTTTACGAGGGCTAAAGAAGTAACAGCCTGTACATGTCCCACTGCTGGGCAAATCCTCCACTATACAGAGGGTATTCGGGACCAGCATGTGGCCCCACTGCGGATTGGCCGACTTCAAATATCTTCTTAAAATTTTTTTTTCGTAAATATGCAGATTTCCTCACGATGTTTTCCTTCACCGCTAAGCACGTGATATTTCAGAACTTAAAACTGACAATTTCATTGGTGCCTACACCAAGATTTGAATTGAGGTTACTCGAGTGTATTGATTAAAAAGCGACCACCCGGCCACTGAGCTATGACGGCTTTAATATCGATCCTATAGCAATTAATAACAAGTAGAATATAATTTAAAAAACTAAAAAATCCGACTGCGTTTCTGTGTAATTTTTTTATTTTGATGTACCCAGTATCACTCTCACAGTGAATACGAATCTAACGACACCTCTTAAGCTGAAGTCCATCAAGCCGTTCAGGCTGCAGTACTCTCGAAATACATAACCCTCCTTCTGGCGCAGTCGGGTAAAAATGTTTCTCATATCTATATGTGTATCTGTTAACGAAATTGGGACAGCACTCCTCAAGATAAACGAAAACAAAATCGCTGGATAAACAAGACAAGCCCTTATTTCTAAGGCCCCTCCCAAAATCGAGATTGTAGAAATTGGGTCGAGATATAAAAGATGATAAAACTCATTCGGCAATTATATGTTTTAACGAATCAATTTGGCAACAATTAGATTGTCTTTAATCAAAATAAGGCAATGTGTTGCCTGTACGGATCGTTGAGACCGAAGCCATAAATTATTTGTTATGTCACTAGTTTGTAATGAAATATATAAATAAATTGATAGAGCTGTTGTGTGCTACTCATGGAAAAACTTACGGATAGATTTCATTTAGCATTATTAGTGTAAGTAATTTTTTATCTTTTTTTCTACCAATTTTAATGTTTCATCGTATCTCTGCACGATTAGCATTATAAATATTGAAATTTCATATGGCAATGGTGACTTTTTAAAACGATATTGTTAATCGTTTGTACGCGGTAAGGTAAAGGATGTAACAATAGATCCGCCAAGCATTGCATAAAAAGGCGTTGAAATTTTCTTCCGCGTGGCAATCAGCCGTTGAGCTTAGTGGTTAAAGTGTCTGGGCGCGAATCTGGGAGACGTTGATTCGATTCACGTAGCGGCGAGAAGCTTTTCATCCCTATTTTCCCCACAAATTTTAATAATATACATTTCATTCTTTTTATTTTGTTAGAAGCGACAGGTGAAGCTTGTGTAAAAAATGTTGTGTGAAAAATGTTGTAAACTTGAAAAGTTATTGACGCCTTTAGAGAACTATTTTCGCCTCTATTTTTAATGTACTACAGATGTCCGTTTTATATTATGTATGTATTATATAAACTTGTGATATTTTATTCTGCGCGCAAAATTAGGAGACGAGTTTGCGGGTATCAGATAGTTAATTAAAATTAAAAAAGCATAACTAATTATTCAGCGAGGAAATGCTAGCGTTCTTGGCACCATGCCGCGTGGATTAGATTTATTACATAATGTCATTTTAGATAGATTTAATCTTGTAAATATTATATCGATAAACTGTATGATATTTTTATTTGTTAAAAAAAAATTAAAAGATATTAATTAATGATGTTGCTATATCTACTTCTTTACGAACCATTTATACTTGCGTCCCGTCTAGAGTTTCAACGTTTCCGAACGTTCCATAAAACAATCGCGCTATGAATCCCAGAATTCCTCGGGATTTTGGCAGCCCGCCCATTTCAATGTCACCGGGTCATCGACCCGCCGCACGTGAGGCAAGATGGCGGCCGCTCGCGCGTGTTACATAAATTCTCACCATTATTTTTAAATATGGCGCCGCGTTCGGCCTTGATATCGATTTCACTTTAAAAGAAATGTTTTATGCGGCCTCCTTTGTGTTGTATGTACTGTTTGCTTGAATCCCTTTATTGCTTCTGTATCTATATTATTCTTGATTACGACGTATCTAACTACTTATTAACATTTTTTTTTAAAATTTAACTGTCTGTTGATACAACAATATTAGTAATGATGACACAATAACAACACACGGGTAGGTATATAAAATATGGTGCCGTCTAACCGGTAGACGAGTCGTGGATTCGATTCTCGATCGTCGATCCGTATGACTTATAGGTTATATTCAAGTACAATTCTAGTCTATTTAAAGTGTGCCTACGAAAGAATTTATCATCCCCTAGCGTGTAGTTCTTTGATATTGTGGCGCAGTTGCCAAGGCTTCGGCGTCGGGGGTTGTGGGTTCGATTCCCACACGACGCGACTATTAGTGTGATGAACAGATAGCTGTTTCGAATCTGGGTGTTTGTCCGTGTGAAATTTATGTTTGCAAAGCGTTCTTACAACACAGGATAATGCTATCCTAAAGTAAGGGCAATGTTTGAGAGAAATTCAATGAAAAATAAAAATAATATAAATAAGATGTCATCCAGATCTCTCGACCGTGGAAGTACCACGGCCTCAGAACACTGATCATGGTAGAAGTTAACTAATCAGCTGTCAAATGGCTTTTAAAATGACATTTTTAGTTGCCAAAAGCATGGTTAAACTCTCTGAATTGATCAGAATGATCCTATTAATGATCAGGATGAACATTTCAAATGGTTTAACCGTCCTTTTGTTAAATCAAATGACATTTGAAAAGACATTTGACATGGACACCGATTAGTTAACTTCTACGATGATCAGAGTTTCGTAAACCGGGCGTAAAAGTGCTATAAGTACTTTCGCTTCGCTGAATATGTACGTGAATATGTGGTACTTATTAAGTTCCATTACTCATCTTAAATTTATCGTGACCCATTGGGTACTTGTGTTCCACGCGAGTAGTTACTCTATTGTTGCGAATGTAAATCGATCGTTGCCAAAGCGAATTCGACCTTACCCTAATGGGTTAAATTCGAAATAGAAACATCATAAGTAGCATAGCTTCTCTTATCGGGCATCGAATTCGAGAACAAAGGGTTACTAACGTAGCATAACAAAGGACTGAACGGGAACTGGGCAAAGGCTTTGTATGTATGTATATATGATATCGTAGGTACATATACAAAAAGGTACAGATATATTAATGATATAACTCATTAATGCTAGCGTACCGGACAGACGTCCTGTACCCGCGTGTTAAATTCGAAAATTTCAACCTTTATTGAATAACTTTGTCCAAACCATCCTCGAATCGACATGAAGACACACAATTGCATTGAAATCGGCCCAGTCGTTTAGGAGTTCAGTGACACACGTACAGATGAATTATGTATTTAATTCCATCAACGGACAACCATGCGTTCGGCGGGGCTCCACCCTTATGCTGTCGACGTTCCGCGTACAAGAACAAAGCGATTCGCTTCTTCATTTATCATCCGTACAGCTAAGGAACGGAATAGCCTGCCGGCGTCAGTCTTTCCGTCCGAATACAACGTAGGCGTCTTCA